TTCCTTGACATCTGATGGAAGGGTGTTCCACAGGGCGGGCGCCACTACCGAGAAGGCCCTCTGCCTGGTTCCCTGTAACCTCACTTCTCGCAATGAGGGAACTGCCAGAAGGCCCTCGGAGCTGGACCTCAGTGTCTGGGCAAAACGATAGGGGAGGAGACGCTCCTTCAGGTATACAGTGGTACCTCGGGTTAAGTACTTAATTCGTTCTGGAGGTCTGTTCTTAACCTGAAACTGTTCTTAACCTGAAGCACCACTTTAGCTAATGGGGACTCCTGCTGCCGCCACGCCACCGAGCATGATTTGTTCTCATCCTGAAGCAAGGTTCTTAACCTGAAGCTCTATTTCTGGGTTAGTGGTGTCTGTAACCTGAAGCGTCTGTAACCTGAGGTATCACTGTACTGGACTGAGGCTGTTTAGGGCTTTAAAGGTCAACACCAGCACTTTGAATTGTGCTCGGAAACGTACTGGGAGCCAATGTAGGTCTTTCAAGACCAGTGGGCTGTGCCCTGCCTCCCCAGTTGGAGTCAGCAAAGCTTTTTGATACCAGTGGATGGCAACTGCAGGAGGGAAAGAGGGCTCTTAGGATCAGACGCAGCTTAGGTGGTTTCCTTTGGGAGCCTCTGGTTGGCCCTTGTGAGGGTATGGGAATAGATGGGCTATTGACTCGATCTGGCAGGCTCTCAGGTTCAGAAAAACGTCTTCCTGTCCTCCTCTTGCACCATACAGAAGTTTCATAAAAGCCATTGCATCCTTGCTTATCACTGCTGCTTTCCCCAGCTCTTTTTATGATCTTTGTTCTGGGGAATGGTACCAGGATGTCTAGGGAAAAACTGGGTAATGGGCCACAGGGAGGGTTCAAGCTTACCCCGGCGTCCCCGAGTAAAACAGCACCTTGGAATAAATGGCAAACTGAAGGCATGTGCAGATGAGCAGATTTCCTGCTGCTGCTGCATTGCTAACAAAGCGATTTGGGTTTCCAATCAGGCCAGGCACAAAGGCAGATGGGAAGGGCCTCTTGCATTTCGCCCCAAGACAGCTGTTGACTAAAGCAGCGTCTTCTCAACTCTCCCACGGGTACAATGCGTTTGGCACAATGGGAGAAACCGTAGCTTTGAGATGGAGCCCCACGTTGCAGCAGGCAGAGGCTGCCAGGTTCCACCCTCAATAGCATCTCTAGTTAAAAAGGCTCTGGCGACGGGAGAGTTGGGAAAGGTTCAGAAAAAGGGTGGCTGAAACAGACCGAGGGAAGGCTGCAGTGTTTGGGTTTTCTCTAGTTTAGAGAAACAGTGAGGAAGAGGAGACATGATAAAGAATTTAGCATAGCATGGAGAAAGTGCTTTTCTTCCTCATAAAACTGGAACTCGTGAACAGCCAATGAAGTTGAAGATTCAAGATAGAGAAAAGAAAGTCCTCCTTTCTTTCTCAGAACAGCTAAACTGTGGAACTCCCTTCCGCAGGAGGCAGTGGTGGCTTTAAGAGAGGATTAATATTATCATTATTGGACACATTCAAGGAGAAGGCAGCTATTTATGGCTAGTAGCCGTGATGGCTATGGTCTGTCCCCACAACCAGATGCAGTAATGCTCCTGAATTGTGCTTGGTGGACCAATGAGCCTCTGGTCTGATCTAGCAGGGTCCTTCTTAAGTTCTTATGACTTTTGACCTGTAAAATTCAGGGGGAGCAAGAATTGCACTCCAGCAGCATCCAGAGGGTAAAAGCTGAAAGGTACCCATGGAAGAGTTCTGACATGGTATACCAAAAGGCTATATGGTATATTGTAAATGTTTCTGGCAATATTATATAATATTGGATGACCCAGAAACTGCAGTTAGTGCAGAATGCTGCCCCACTGATGCCGATAGAACATCTGTGCTCCAAGAACACCTGCACTGGTTGCCAGTTTGCTACCAGGTCAGGTCCAAGGCATTACGGCTAGAATCTAAAACCCTTCACTTGGGACCAGGTCACCTGCAAGATCGCATCACTCCTAGAGCTCAAGCGCTCTGATCTTTCCAATACCAGCTCTGCAGTTGTAAGGAAGTGGCGCTTTAGTGTGGTGGCACCTGCCCTCTGGAACTCCCTGCCTCTTGATAACAGGCAGGTGCCTTTCCTGAACTCTCTGCCATGTCTGCCTAAAACGTTTTTGCTTAGGGAACCCTAGCCACACCCAGGTAGATGCTGGCATGCATTTTAATCTCTTTTACTTGATCATTTTTAAAAAAATTAATTGATCATTTTTATCTGTAACTGTCATCTGCTTAGAGGCTTTACTACAATCAAGCGGCATATACATTTTGCTAAATTACATATAGCTAGACGGACCCTTTCTTTATTCCTTTCCCATTTTCTTGTGTGCGTGTCTGCATGGCTTATTTTATCAAAATGCACGTACCTGGTTGCAGAAGAGTGTGGGTGGGCCATATGGCCCCAGAGGAACTGCAATGAGCCCATGCAGCCCTTGGGCTAGAAAAAGGGCTAACCACCTCAAGGCTCCAGTCTTTTGCCAAACAGATTTTGGCACTAGCTTAACTGCCACTGAAGCACTGGGTTGGGGGGCAGACAATGTTGTTTATGCTTGAAAACCTGTGTGGGCCCACAACCCTCCTGTTTTCCAAAGGAAAGTCTCTTTAGTTCTTCACCCTTATAAAAAGAAAACACTAAACGGCTGCGGTTTCAACCTGCTTCCGTCTCTCGCAACATCTGCCTCCCCGTGGTCAGAAAGTGGAAGTGCCCAATTTTGAACAGATTTAGAAATGGCTTTAAGTTGAAAACGGCAGCTTCCCTCTTGGATTTCTGCAGACAGGCAGCCATCGTTCTGCTCCCAAAGAATGAGAAGACACATAAGCATTGTTTCAGATTCCTGCAGACCCACAGGCCAAGCGCTTGCCTGGTGACAAAGCTGACCCCTTCTCTCTCCCCCCCCCCCGCCCCAACTTTGGCATTTGTTTGAAAGCATGTCTGGAGCTACTTATGGAGCCCAAGATGCAATTTATTGCAAAATCCTTTTACAGATACTGGTGGGATTAGACTCAGGAGTCTATAGGAAACATTTTGTACAAAATGCATTTCAGAGACGGGAGGTCTTTTCGTACAATGCTGGCAACGGGCCACTTAGATGATACCAATCTGGAAACACAAAAGAAAAAGCGAAGAATTGCATTAGCCGTCTGATCTACCCCAGCTTTTCTGCCCCTTGGGGATTCACACCCGCTCACTGTGCTGCTCCCTCCTTGGGGGGGGGGGAACCTGACATCTTCTAGCAAAGGAGCTTCACAGCGGCCTATACAACTCAGCCTCATAGTGCAAAAACTGTCCAAGAATTTGAGATCTGGGGCTATTTCCTAGAAACCCAGTAAGTATTCTCAGCGATAACAGAAAATCTAGCAGTAATGACCAGAATAACAGAACTGTAAAGGTGGAAGGGACCTCCAAGGCTCATCTAGTCCAACCCCCCCCCATGCAGGAACCACAGCTAAAGAATCTCTGACTGTTTTAAACCCCTCAATGAAGGAGAGTTCATCACCTTCTGAGGAAGTGTGTTCTAACTCTCAGAAAGTTCTTCCTAACGTTTACTAAGGTTAGGCTGGCCTCAACCAGAGCCAGGGCCTTTTTGGCCGTGGCCCCGATATCTTTCCGCAGGGCCTGCAAGACAGAGCTGTTCCACCAGGCCTTTGGCCAAGGCACAGTCTGACCCCCTCCTCTGGTAATTCCTCACAGAACTCTAGCCCAATGGTTGCCATTAATTTGATTTTGAATTGATTTTAAAATGAATTGATTTTAGAATACTGTGTTACTTTTATTGTTGTTAGCAGCTCTGAGCCCGGCTTCGGCTGGGGAAGGCAGGATATAAAAATTTTATTATTATTATTACTCAAAATTTCCTCTCTTTCAATTTGAACCCATTGGTTTGCACTGTCCATGTTGACAGCCCTTTCGATATGTAAAGATGGCCATTCTGCCTCCTCTTCTCCTGGCTGGTAATTCCAGGACTCTCAAGTGAGGAGAGCGCTCTTGCACTCACGTTCTGCTTGTGGGCTTCCTTCTGGGGAATTTGGCTGGCCTCTGCAGGGACTGGATGCTGCTCTAGCCAGGCCCTCTTTGGCCTGATCCAGCAGCCAGGCCCTGCCTGCCCTTACTCCAAGGCCCCATTATGGGGAAAGGGTCTATCAGCCTCTCCCTCCTTACCTTGTTGGCAACATCTAGCGCGTCATAGTCTGGAGCAAGGCGGACATAGGCTTTCTTCTCACCGTCAGGCCTGGAAGGAGACAGGTGGTGTTAGCTCTCAAAAGCAGTGGTGCTGCACCATTCCTACTCTCCAGCCCTGGTGCACATTTGTTCCCTAGGATAAGTGTGGTGTGTGATATTCTTGCTTCAGCTTATTTTACTACCTTGAGCAACTAGAACTTTTTTTATATTAAAAAAATCAAAATCCATGTTCTTCCTCTTAACAGCACCTGTTCCTCATTTAAATTTTAGGTGTGTGCTTTCAGTTACTTTACACTGGCAAAAACAATCCTTTCCCCGTTGCAAGATGCTAAGATGTTCAAAGAAAACCTTATCTTCCAGTCCAAAACCTTACACTGGATGCTTGGTACCACCACTCTGGAATATAGTTATCAGGAGAAAATTGTGCATAATCTGAGATGTCGATAAGGACTAGAATGTCCAGACACTTTTTATATGATTTGGCATTCCTTTTATGACATGCGCAATGGAACCATCATTTTCAAGACAACCTCGTCACAAGCCTGGCAAATGCTTGACAATCAGATAATATTCTGTACTTGGAATGTTGTTGTTTTAACCAATGTGCCACTGTACTCATTCTATGTGCCTGTTTTACAGCTTTCTTTTCCATCTTTTTAATTTTAATCTGTTATTATTGTTCTCTGTTTGATATACTGTACATTATAAAATGAACTAAAGCTTTACAGGCGGCAAATACCCTCCCCTGAGAATTCTTACACCTCTGTCGATCCCTGGAAGGGCATTTTTTGTGCATCAGTGGTTCCTTTGAAAGCATCACTTTCTTCAGTCGATAATGTTTCCATCATTTGCACAAGAGAACCTGCCTCTCCCTGCTTGCTTGCTTGCTTGCTCTCTCTCTCTCTCTCACACACACACGGTCTCTGCTCACCTGATAAGCGTGTTGACCTTTGCCACGTCAATGTCGTAGAGCTTTTTGACAGCCTGCTTGATTTGGTGCTTGTTTGCTTTCACGTCCACGATGAACACCAGGGTGTTGTTGTCTTCAATCTTCTTCATGGCTGATTCAGTGGTCAGGGGGAACTTGATGATGGCATAGTGGTCCAACCTGGGAAGGAGGGCAGCAAAAGGGGGCTTTATCAGTTACTCACAGAAGTGGTGAGGGTGAGAGGTCCTCAAATACAGATCCAGGTGCATCAGTCACTATTAAGCTGTAATCACAACCAATCAGGCTTTGGTCGCTAAATCATCATCCTCTGCACCTTTGATCCTTGGCCAAAGGGAAAGGCCATGGCCTCAGCAATGGAACCCCTGCTCTGGATACAAAAGGGGGTCTCCAGTTCAACCCCCAGCATCTCCAGTGGGGCTGGGGAATAGCCTCCCTGCCTGAAACCCTAGAGGGCCTCTGCCAGTCTGTGTGCTTAAGATAGATGGGCCAAGAGCCCGACTTTGCAGAAGACTTGGGAAGCGCCGGTGGTCCCAGATTCAATCCCCAGGGGAATCTCCAGGTAGGGCTGGGAAAGTCCCTCCTGCCAGTACCTCTGCCAGTCAGAGTAGACAATGCTGAGCTAGAGGGGTCAGAGGTCTGACTCTGGATAAAACAGCTTTCAACATGCCTGCGTAGCATTCATAAAGAACTGAGATGAGAACATAAAAAGAGCTCTGCTGGAGCAGGCTAACAGCCCATTTGTCCCGCATCCTGTTCTCACAGTGAACACCTGGATGCCTGTGGGGAAACACTCAAGCTCCCTCAACAATTTGGGGGAGGAGGAGAACAGGAGCAGCAATTATCATTCATGTATCATCCTTCAGTAACCATAAAAATAGACTACATCTAGTTTTATCCTCCAAATATTTTACTAAAGACATTGCACTCAATTATTTCGATGATATTTTCTATGTGTAAATGTTTTACTTTTCTTCAAAAATATTTTTTTTAAAATAAACAAAACTGTCAAAATAGACTGGAGCTGAGAGGGACAGTGCAGAAACTGATCAACAATTTTTAAAGGAAGACACTGTGGAACACTTTGCGGGAAGATACTATATGCCATTAAAAAATCAATTTTTAATACATGAGTAGACAAGTCATAGGTATTTTGCCTGGCTACCAGAGCTTGGTGGGCCATGCTGAGCATCTCTTGGGCCGACTTACTTGTTCCTCCTTGGCGCGCTCTTCCTGGGATACTTGGGCTGCCTCCGTAACCGCAGTGTTTTCGGCCTTCTGAAGGTAGGGGACGTCCGGATCTTCTTCTTCTTGTGACTGTGGACACCTTTCAGGACTGCCTTTTTAGCTTTCAGGGCTTTGGATTTTGCCTCGGTCTTGGCCGGGACAGCTGCAAGGAGAAGACAGAGCTGAGGATGAGCAGGGAGGTGGGGGAAAATTCCTCTGCACATCCCATACAGCTTCAACAGGATTGTCGGCACATGGCCTTTAAAGCCTATGCAATTTACTCCACATCAATTCAAGTAACAGAAACGTGTGCTTTTAGTGACCCACAGGGGGAAGGAAATATTTGCATAAACTAACGGGCTCTGAACTAGCAGTGAATGGTCAAGAGAGGTCTTGTGGTTATACCACAATGAAAATGTTGACCCAGCATCGAGAGGCTGTGGAAAAGGCAAATTCCACATTAGGGATCATCAGGGACTGAAAATAAAACTGTCCTTATACAAATCTATGGTGCAAACTCTATTGGAATATTGTTTATTGTTATAAATTGCTGCTTGAATGGCACTTGAAAGATGATAAGGTTAAGTCGGTTAAGATTCATTGGGCCAAAGATTTTGGGTATAACATACAATTGAATGATTGGATAAAATTATGGAAGGAAGGCTTAAAATTTACTGCATGTAATGCATTAAAAGAAAATGTGATGAAAATGATGTATAGATGGTATATTACACCAGTGAAGTTAGCAAAAATGTATGAAGTCAGTAATAAATGTTGGAAATGTAAGGAAAAAGAGGGAACATTTTATCACATATGGTGGGAATGTAAAAAGGTGAAATGCTTCTGGGAGATGATATATAATGAGTAGAAAAAAATGTTGAAATATACATTCATAAAGAATCCAGAAGCATTTCTCTTGGGTATTGTTGGAAACGATATAAATAGAAAGGAATGTAAGCATCTTCTATATGCAGTAACAGCAGCAAGAATACTATTGGCCCAAAAATGGAAGCAAGAAGAATTACCAACGATGGAAGAATGGGGGATGAAATTAATGGACTATGCGGAACTTGACAAACGGGAAGGATCCGAAACCGGTGGGACCAGAAGTTTACCGAGGACTGGAGTAAATTTACGGATTATTTGAAAAGTATTTGTGACGACCAGACGACGTTTGTAGGTTTGCAAAGTTCTGTGAGGAATAATATTAGAAATATTGCAAAAATGGAGGAGACGTGGTATGTTAAGAATGTAAAGGCAATATTAAGTTAGGAAATGTGTAAGAAGTGATTAAGACGGAGGATTATCAGAGGTGCTGGTGGAAGTCCAATAAGAATGTATTTGTGATAAATTGTGTGCTATGTTTTATAATTTTGTATGTTAAAAACCAATAAAAATATTTATAAAAAAGGAATATTGTTTATTGTTGTGGTTGCCCACCCTCATTTAGAAAGAAGGTGGGTTATCCCAGTGTTAGAGGATTCAGGACAGGCAAGAGCATTTCTTCACCCAGAGCACAGTTAAATTATGGAACTGGTTTTCACAGGAAGCAATGATGGGACCAACCTAGATGGCTTTAAAAGAGATTTGGTCAAATTCAGAGGGCTCTGAGTGGCTATTAGCCAGGACAGCTATGTGCAACCTCTTCTGAATACCAGTCACAGGAGAACACAAGTAGACAGTGCTGTTGTGATCATGGTCTGCTTGATATTTGGTTGGCCACTGTGACAACAGGATGCTGGGCTGGCTATATGAATGTTTAGTCTGATTCAACAGGTCTCTTTTTATGAGAACGGGAAGGGTAGATTTATAGTGTTTGCCTCAACACCATCTTAGTCCACTGGTAAGTCAGGATCTATTGGGTCACAACCTGATTTAGGAGTGGGCTGCAACAGCAACACTACAGCTGTACAAAAAATATTTCATGGAGTTAAAAAGTGGGTCCCTGGGTGTCTCTTTGAGTAAAGGGGGGGGGCAGCATTTCTGAAAAGGCCAGATTCTACTGATCTAGAACATGCAGAATAACATGTAAAGGAATCTGCTCATGGTTAATAAAGATTTGGGGGGTGGGGGAGAAAGCTACCTGTTGCTATAAAAACATATTTTGAAAAAGAAGGAAGCCTACAAGCTTTCTAAAAGCCAGAAATGAAAGCCACTCAACAGTAGGTCAACTCTTACTTCACTTGTTAGATGGGTCTGGCTGCCAGGTAGGTATAAAACACAAACACATGTCACCCTACAGCCTCAGCCAGGGCTGGGTGTCCCTCAATGCCCCTTCCAATTTGGACTGTCCTGAATCTTTCAACATTCAGCTTCATTGGGTTTCACTATTACAAGAGAAGGAGGGAAATCTTTGTATCCCTGTGATTCCGAGCAATCGTTATTCAGAGGCACTTGCTGCCTCTGACTGTGTGGCTAGTAGGCCCAGGTAGCCCCCTCCACCCCGATGAATCTGTCAAAATTTCTTTTAACGCCATCCAAGCTGGTGGCCAATACTATCTCCTCTTCTTTATAATTTTTTCAAAATATAACAGTATTTTTACTGTTGCTACGACAATTGCTTTGGAGCTGTTTTATATTTATTTTATGGTTTTCTTTTGTAGACTATAAAATAAAATATTTTTTAAAAAAACAACAGAGGGGGGAAAGAAAGAAAAAAAGAAAACATTTCAATCTATTCATTAAATAATTTCTTTTTAGGTCGACTTCCATCCCATGCTTCCATGGTTTCCTCCAATCATCTATTTCTGCTGCATATTCTAATTTTTCTAATCATTCTCACATCCAAATGTGGTGGCCAATACCATGTCAGTCTTGCCAAACCACTTCATCCAAACCACCTTGGGGGGGTGGGCAGTGCTAAGAGAAGGGTGAACGAACCAGCAGCCTCCCCCCCCCCCAGGAAACAAGCCCTTTTGAACCCCCCCCCAATTCACCACCTCCTCCCTACCCATAATTTAGCCCCCTCCCCTATTTGAGGGCTGCCTTGCAGCCAAACCACTTCCAACTTAGGGGGGGGAGAGAAACCAGCAGCCCCCCCGACAAACCCTTCTCAACAGGCCCCCCAGCAGAGAAAGTTAAGTAACAGAGCTATAGCAATTATAGGAGGGTGAAATAATATAATAATAATAATTTTTATTTATACCCCGCCCTCGCCAGCCAACTCCCTCCCCGCATTGCAGCCCCCCCCAGGTCCACGGCTGCCCCAGAGAGGGCGCCCCCCGAGCCCCCACCACGAGGCTCACCCTCCTTCTTCACTTTCGGCGCCATCTTGGAAAGGAAGGCGAAAAAGAGAGAACCACGTGAGCCCCGCGCCAGCTTATAGCGCCAGCTCTCGCGAGGCTACGGCCCCCAAACGCCGCGAGAAGTCCCGCGAGAACCGCGAGCTGCCGGGCGGAAGAGATTTCCGGGGCGGGCCTCCCGCCCCCCAGCCAGGCTGGAGGGAGCATGCGCGCCACGAGCCTCGCGGGGCTACGGAGCGCCGCGATGCGCGACGGGAGTTGTGGTTTAGCTCGCCTCCCCGCGGCCACGTTTGGAGTGGCAGTCAAGGGCGGAGCCTTTGAAATCAAGGGGCGCAGATAAGGCTTCTTCATTTATTTCAAGTAAAAGAGATATGTAATATTCGTCAGGGGAAAGAAACATGAGCAACATTGCATAAAACACCAAAGCTCGAGGCACAGAAGGTTAACCCTTCACTACACCCAACAAAGTATAAAACAAAAGTCAGTATTTTAACACTTTAATTGCTTTAGCCATGACACTTGTCATTTATGGATGTATGTTAATAAGAATAATTAATAATAAATTATTATTTATACCCCGCCCTTTGGCTGAGTTTTTTATTTTTATACTTTAATATTCTTAATAATAATAATAATAATTTTTATTCAGTCTCTTCAAGGGCATACAAAACAAACAGCACCTGCCCTGTTTTCTGGAATGCCAAATATACCACCAAATAAAAGTGATCTAAAATAGGACAGAGAGCAAGACTGCAGCCATGTCTGACCCCTAGTCCAGGGGTTTTCAGCATGGCACCCTGGAGTGCTTTGAATGAAGGGATGCCGCAGGCAACTCTGGCCTCTGTCCCTCTTTCCTTCCTTTTCTCCCTCCTCTGATGCCTCTCTTTTTCCATCAGGCGGCATGAGGAGACACCTCTCTTTGGGGTGGAGTGGTGGCTGCTGTCCAGAAGACTCCAGTAGCTGGGAGAGCAGAGGAGCCTGAGGGAATACAAAAGGAGATTGTTTAAGAAAAGCTGAGGGGCTGTCAGTTTTGCAGACAAGGGGTGACATAACTGGGCTTCTGAGGCTTGGAGTGTTTCCCCTCAGGGGTGTAGCAGGAAGATTGTAGTTGGACAAGGGAGCCGTGGACTCTAAAAGGTTGAAAGCCTCTAGGCTAAGGGGCGACTTCTAAAGTCTTCAAAAGCACTTACACACCTTTATCCTGGGGCATCACCTCCTTGCAAGGTGATGGTGAGGACTCTGCTGCAACAGAAAAATAAAGATATTCCTTGTTTTCCATTGGTTCCTGCCTCCACTCTAACTTTTCTGACCCATAGAACTTGTGGTTGGCTTTTACAGCCCTATTCCCCCCAATTTTTCCATACCAACTTCTAGGGAAGGGCCAGTGCTTGGCATACAGAAGACCCATGTTGTCCCAGGCAGCATCTACCGGTAGAGGTGGCAATGTCCCCAGCATGCAATCCCGGAGGGGGGGGGGCAGGCTGCCAGCCAGTGCAAACAATATTAAGTGGCTTCATTTAAAGCTGCTGCAGCCACAGGAGATTCCAAGCAGCAAAACAGGAGAAGAGACTTGCTTCTGCTGGACTAGAATGTGGGGTGGGGGTGTCTACCCCAATCGAGCCCTCCTGTCTGCTTCCCACAGAAGCGCCTGGAAAGACGTGCAGCAGCAGGACCTCGTGGCAAAAGGCCTCCTTAGAAGCTGGGTTTGATTGTATTTCTATGCTGTTATCCATTGCAGCTTACAAGCAATAAATAACAGTAGCGTGATAAAGCATAATAAAAGGTAAAGGTAGCCCTGCCCGTACGGACCAGTCTTGACAGACTCTGGGGTTGTGCGCCCATCTCACTCAAGAGGCCGGGGGCCAGCGCTGTCTGCAGACACTTCCGGGTCACGTGGCCAGCGTGACAAGCTGCATCTGGCGAGCCAGAGCCGCACACGGAACGCCGTTTACCTTCCCTGCCAGAGCGGTCCCTATTTATCTACTTGCACCCGGAGGTGCTTTTGAACTGCTAGGTTGGCAGGAGCAGGGACTGAGCAACGGGAGCTCACCCCATTGTGGGGATTCAAACCGCCGACCTTTCGATCGGCAAGCCCTAGGCGCTGAGGCTTTTACCCACAGCGCCACCCGCGTCAAAGCATAATAGAGCATTAGAAATACAGCACAAATCATACCTAAAATTTAACAAATCATCAATAAAACATTTGCAATCCATAAAACCCTATTCACAAAGGGGCAATTAAAAACCTTGTCTCAGGCAGGAGATAGACTGCTCCTGGCCATGGAGGCACCACTTTCCGCTATCATAGTTGGCAGCTACGTCATAAAGATCTTAGGGATTTATTATTATTCAATTTGATTTGAATTAATTTTATAATGAAATGATTTTAGAATGTTGTATTATTTTATTGTTGTTAGCCGCCCTGAGCCCGGCTTCGGAGGGCGGGATATAAATAAAAATTTATTCTTATTCTTATTATGCCAACGTGAATAAAATATTGGGGGGGGGCTGGTAAGCACTGCCCCGCATAATCAATCCCAGGATGTGGAGCACGCACACTATTTGAATAGTAATGCCCATCAACTTGGGGGCGGCCCCCAAAATGTTTTATTGGGGGGGCGCGGCCCCCTCGGGCCCTCAGAGTTGCCCCCTTGGAAAGATCTACTGCCCCCGCGCGCCGGGGGAGGAGCTTTCGGGACAGTGACGTAAGTTGCAAGACACTCTGCTTCCGGAAGTTCCTTCTCCGAGTTGTCAGAGACCCTTCTTTCCCTGCCTAGCTCTAAGCCCCCGGCCGTGACGCAGAGCTATGACGTTTCAGCAGGATCCTCTCTCTCTCTCTCTCCTTACCCCCCCCCTGCCCAGAGGGCTTCCGGTCGAGCCCACCGTCACTTCCGGGCGGTGAGGCGCGGCGGCGGCCATCTTGGGCGGCTGGAGGGCGGGGGGAGGGAAGCGGCGGCGGCGGCGGCGGCGGCGGCCGGGCTTGCGGCCCCTCCTGCTCCTGCTGGTGCGGCGGCGGCCCGAGGCGGCGCCCATGGCCGGGCAGTTCGACGCGGAGGACCAGGCGAGCTGGTACTGGGGCCGCCTGAACCGGGTGGAGGCGGTGGGGCTCCTGCAGGGGCAGCGCCACGGCACCTTCCTGGTGCGGGACTCCAGCAGCATCCCCGGAGACTTCGTCCTCTCCGTCTCCGAGAGCTCCCGCGTCTCCCACTACATCGTCAACAGCCAAGGTGCGCCCAGGGAGGAGCGGGGGCCCCGGGGCCGGCCTCCCCCGCCTCCGCCCCTCTATGTGGGCGAGGGGCCTGCAGCTCCAGCGGCGCGGCGGGAGGCCTTGTCGGGCGCTGCCTTGGGCGGGGCCGCCCCAGCACGAGGCTGCTTCGGCAGACCGACGCCTCCTCGGTTTCCTGGCGGGCTAGGCCGCGCCTCCCTTTGGCCTGAGACGGGGTGGACCCCAGTTCTCGGTTAGCTGTATACTGGGAGAGAGGGAACTTTAGCCTTCCTGACTCCACCTTCGCTCTTCTCTTATCCCCCCCCCCAAACAAAATCAGGAGCGACCAGACGGTCCGCGAAAGGATCCTGCCTCGCTCCAGCCAGCAATGTTTCTGATTCCTTGCTTTCTGCTGGGAACTTCCTGCTGTTGCGATTGGCCCCCGAAAAGATGTGCGCTGCTCCTACGCTTGGCTTTTTATAATTGTTTCAAAGTTCCAGTGTTGTGTTTGTTGCTGCTTGCTCGGTTCACCTGCACCTGCTTTGAAGGCATGAAGCGCCTTTGAAATCTTTTGGAAGAGCAGCAGTTGCCGAGTTTGCAATCAAGTGTTTGTTGACAGTGCTGTAAAACCGCTTGGCTTGGTTACTTTGGTGGCTGGGGCTCAGATGGTGCCCTGTAAATTGAATGCACAACTTTATGCATGCATTCTCTCCATAATGCATTCTATTATGGAGAGAAGATTGCGCAAGTGATGCTTGCTTTGAGGATGCAGGACAAGGCACATTTGTGTGGTGACCCTCCATAACACTGGAGAGTTTTTCTGTTTGCTTTTACAATGAGGTATTAGATATTTTTAAACACTGCCTTAGTAAAAAAGAGTGCTTTTACATGGTTGCATATAAGCTAAATATTTAAGACAGTCACAAATTGAAAAGTTGATTGTACTGAAAGAAAGCTGGTTACAGTCAGAGTTATATGTTTGGCCATGCTCATAGCTTTTGGAGTAAGTAATCTGTAGTTTTCTTTCTCCCCTCCTACTCCCAGGGTCAAATAATCCTCCTAGGTTTCGAATAGGGGACCAAGAGTTTGACTCCCTGCCAGCTTTACTGGAGTTCTACAAAATACACTACTTGGACACTACAACCTTGATAGAACCTGTTTCAAAATCCAAACATAACAGTGATGTGCAGCTGAGGCAGGAAGAGGCTGAGTATGTGCGTGCTCTCTTTGACTTTAATGGCAATGATGAGGAAGATCTTCCATTTAAAAAAGGAGACATACTGAGAATCCGGGAAAAGCCTGAAGAGCAGTGGTGGAATGCAGAAGACAGCGAAGGCAAGCGAGGGATGATCCCTGTTCCGTACGTCGAGAAGTATAGACCTGCCTCTGCTTCAGTATCTGCTCCGATTGGAGGTAACCAGGATAGTGCGCTCCCACAGCCGCTGGGTGGGCCGGAGCCAGGTCCCTATGCCCAGCCCAGCATCAACACTCCGCTCCCCAACCTCCAGAATGGCCCCATTTTTGCCCGGGTTATCCAGAAGCGGGTCCCTAATGCCTACGACAAGACAGCCTTGGCTTTGGAGGTACATAATGGGCAAAAAGAGATTGGTTCAAGCAATTTCTCTTTCAAATAGCCTTGCATCCTAAGAGGTTAAGAATCCTTTTGCTGTTAATCAAAAGTAGTCATGTTTTTCATGCATTCTTTGTTTAAAATATATGAAAGGGGCGGTGAAAACATACCATTAAGGGGCCAGTCCTCACCTTGCAGCAATATGTTGTCCTGTATCCTTATGCATCTACAGTACAGTGGTGCCTCGCAAGATGAAATTAATTCGTTCCGTGAGTTTTGTCGTCTTGCGATTTTTTTCGTCTTGCGAAGCACGGTGTCGGGAAAGTTTTGGAAAAGCTTCAAAAATCACCAAAGTCTTTAAAAACCTCAAAAAAGGCTACCACACCGCGTTCTATGAGTTGCTCCTCGAAGTCAAGTCGCAACTGTATTAACAGTGTTAAGAAAAAGGAAACAAACTTGCAAGACGTTTCCGTCTTGCGAAGCAAGCCCATAGGGAAAATCGTCTTGCGAAGCAGCTCAAAAAACAAAAAACCCTTTCGTCTAGCGAGTTTTTTGTCTTGCGAGGCATTCGTCTTGCGAGGTACCACTGTACTAAATGTAAATGGCGTTTCTGTGTCTCTGGCACTTGTCACGGTGCCCCATGCGCTAGAAGTGGTTAAGTCATGCTGGCCACATGACCTGGAAAAGCTGTCTGCAAAACACCGCCTCCCTAGGCCTGAAAACAGAGATGAGCGCCATGCCCCATAGTCAAATTCGACTGGACTTAACCATCCAGGGGTCCTTTACAAAATGTGACACGTGTCTAATGTTGGAGCCTTGGGCAGGCAGGGTGTGCTTGCCTGCTGTCTCTAGTGCATGCGATGGCCACTTTTGTTTTTTCCTTAAAGGTTTAATTATGCTGAAATCTGGGAGCAGCCTATACTGAACTTTAGAATTGTTTCATTCTGCAGGCTTGTGCATCCAAAAGAATGAGGATTCTGTGTTGTTCAGAGACAAGGGGGTTCTCTACATCCATGCAGTTTTCTGAAAGGCCTGATTAGACACATTGCTTTGGCAAACAGATTGCTATGCCAAATGTTGTGGGTGGCACACTGCTATGCAGTTCAATAAGGTCTACTGTCTCCTTAGAGGTTTATGCTTTCATACTACAGTGGTACCTCGGGTTACAAACGCTTTGGGTTACAGACTCCGCGAACCTGGAAGTAGTACCTCGGGTTAAGAACTTTACTTCAGGATGAGAACAGAAATCGTGTAGTGGCAGCGGTAGGCTCCATTAGCTAAAGCGGTACCTCAGGTTAAGAACGGTTTCAGGTTAAGAACAGACCTCCAGAATGAATTAAGTTCATAACCAGAGGTAACACTGTATACAGCATTTCCCTTATGTGAGTAGATAAAACCCTAATTTCAGTTGTTCAAGAGCAAGAGGTTGGAGCAGTAAATGGCAAAGCAGACTTTTGTAGGGCAGCTGCTTTGGGAGAGGCTCTTTGCTCCGTCTTTCAGGTGACCCAGGTGATTTGCAAGGCTTTGTCCTGCTTCCAGGGAGGAGTCTGACCGTAGAGAGGCCTGCCTGATGGGAGGGTTACTGTTTCCACTTCCTTAATATTATTGGGAGGCTACACTGTTTCCTTAGGCTCACCAGGTAGTTTTCATCCTGATCATAAATTTGGCGCTAAATCCAAGCCCCACTGGGATCTTCAGTTCCTGCAGCAAGTGGGATTTGCCTTCTGCTCTTTGCATGTAGTTAATCATTTGACTGAGTGGTCCTTGGCTTTATGAAAGCAATAAAATGGGCCAGTTCAAACCTGAAACCTTTTGTGATTGTAGACTGCCTCTTAAATGAGCTTAATTTTTCCCCAAGTGACTTCACTTGCTTTTGAGCAGCACCTGAGATGGTGCCGCTTTGTGTTTTCTCCTGGACACAGTGGAACGGAAATATGCAAGCAGCTGTGCAGGCTGCACTAGGACGGCCATTCTGTGGTCTTGGAAGAGTCAAGCCAAGAGTCTCCACTGATGCTTGGCTGGTTGTGTGTCTGAATTTCACCGCTTCCCATTCTCCCTGGTGCTTTTGGAAAGGGGTTATTGGCTCAGTATAGTGTTGTGACTGACTACTTTGACCAAATAATTGTGGACTCTACTTGTCCAAGGAGTTGTTAACAGTGGTGCTTTCATTCTTGGCTGCAGGTTGGTGAGCTGGTAAAGGTCACCAAGATTAACATGAGTGGCCAGTGGGAAGGAGAGTGCAATGGCCGGAGAGGACACTTCCCGTTCACGCACGTCCGGCTGCTCGATCAACAGAATCCCGAGGAAGACTTCAGCTGAGTATGGCTCAACGGTTCTGCTTACAGATGGGAACAAACACACTGCGTTCCACTGCAGCTGCCATAGACTGTTCCTAGATGTCAAAAGCAGTGTCACTTCTGCAAGACACTGATATTGTTGAAATATCCCTGGGACCCGACACTTAAAAGAGGCTTGTGTTTTCAGGGTACGAAACTCAATGGCTTCTGTGCCAAAAGTGGCACATAAGGATAGGTAAATCAGAGACATCACTTCCCCTCTCCCCCCCCTCCCTGCTGGAAGTAGGATTTGGCCACCTCAAGAGGGTTCTTGTGTATGGCTTTACCAGTCCCATTGCTTTGTCTGTAGGCAGCAAACCTGAATGGTTAAGTAGGAAGCTCACAACTTGCTAAGCCAAGAAAATTTCCTCTCTTTGGATTTGATTTGCAACTCCTGCATCATAACTGCTTGTTGCATAAGAAGTACAATTTGCACATTGCAGGTGACTGTTTAAACATACTATTTTGATACTGGGGTAGCTGTTGCATAACTACCACCATTTGAATGGGTTAGCTATTGTATAACTATTCTGCGTTTTGGCTGTTCCCCAGAGTTCCCAAGAAAGGGGGTTTCAGAAATCAGTCTCCAGTACAGGCATAGCAAGTTACTGATTTAATTCCAGAAGTAGAGATTAAAACCTAAAAAATTAGGTAGACTGACTGGCCTTCTTCTAAGTGCAGAGAACTATGTTTGTTGCACTTTATTCACTAATATGGGTAACGACACAAGTTGCTGAATCTGTTACAGATCTGAGCACTACACTCCAGATGTAACCTTTGATGCGCTGCAGGAAGGAATGGAAGTGCCTCAAAGTCTTTGCGTGCTTTTATTCATTCAGTATAGTAAGATAAGTATTGCCAGTGCTTTTTTCCTAAAAAAAAAAGGTTTAGGGGTACTCTCATTCCGTCTGAGACTCAGGAAACACCGTGACAGGAAATGAGGCCGCCATTGGGGGTAGCAACGGAACGGACGATTCACCGTGCTAGAGAAGAAACATTTTTTTTTAAAAAAAAAGTTTCTTTTCCTGTTAGATTCACAAAACGTTTAGGGGTGTGCGTACCCCCAGAAAATAAGCACTGAATATTGCCATCAGAAATCAAAATGCCAAAACCTTTTTTTAAAACCTGCTATTTAGGTCTGTTTGTTTCCATTTGTAAAGCATTCACATGATGGCTCCATGAAGATCTTATTTTTAATAAACTAATGGAAATACTTAAACGCTTTGGGATTGATTCTAATACATTCGTAATTCACAAAATTAATTTTTATCCCTTCACTTTTTCCACTACTTAAACATCCAACTTTTGTGCTAATATTTCCCAGGCTGCTTTCCCCCCCCCACATCCTTTTTTAAACAATCCAACCATCCACCCAGATGCAGCAATTGTAAAGAAGGCTTTTCTTCCTAAAGGATAAAGAACTGAAATGTCCTTTGGATGATCCCATATAAGTGGGGCGTTGTCTTGTTACACGTTGCAGTGGAGTAGCTGGATCCCAGTGTGGAGACCATGTGCAGAATACACCACCGTATGTTAGGCCCTTGGGGCTGGAACACTGCAGTGGTCATGTTCTTCACTTCTGCTTAAGTGCGATTGCTTTACGTTGAAAGGGCAGTGCCTGCAGAGTAATGCAAATTGGCTGTAGATGTGTGACGGCATCAGACAGGTTTTAGCAAAATGCTCTTGCTGATCAATAATTCAGGTTGGCAGGTAATATTCCTTCTGATGGTGCTTGTTGCATATTTTATCTAGATCATGCTTCCAAATTATTGGGCAAGCCGTGAGCACAATCAGTTGCCTTCATGAACCTTCTTGGATTTCTATGGGGAACGCAGATTATTATTATTTAATTCTGCTCCTTAACTGGAATTTGATAGTTGAGACCTACCTGACTGTCTCTGTAAAGTTGACCAATTCCTCAGCAAGTTCCTCCCTTTTCTTTTTACAGCATTTCCTGTAAGATAACATAACTCCTTATTAAACAGCTTTAGTACATGCTACAGTCTTAAAATCCATAGACCTTTCTTCGCTTTTGTTGATTTTAGTAGTTCCTCTTTCACACTATTAAATTTTGTCATGGAACTGTATTTTACAGAGAAATGCAATATTTTTAATTAAACCTTGATGTGCTGCATTTTTAAATAAAAAATATAGGTATTACAGTCCATTTCAGTTTGGAACTGATCAGCTTGGCAGAAGGAAGGGAACCAGCTTTTGTGCCTAAGTCAACAGTCCTCCGGATGTTGCTGGCATTCAGTTCCAGTCAAGCCCAGCAAACCCACCCAGTAGTGCAGAGGTGATGGGAGTTGTCATCTAACAACATCAGGAAGACCCCCCACCCCTTCTCTTAAGTTGTGTGGGGAAAGTCCCTGTGTTTAAGAATGCAACAGTGATTGAGACGGAACAGAAAAAAAACAAACTTCCATTTGCTTCAATGTTTGTGCTGAGTAAGGCTGGAAGGCAGGGAAGCATGGATGACATTAAACTCCTGCACAAGATCGGAGGCTGCTTTTTCTTTTCCACAGTGAAGCTCCTTCCTTCCTAGTTACTTCAGAGATTTAAGACTGCGTCACTTGGTCAGTGTTGGGTGGTTAACTTGTGCTACAGCTAGCGTAACTCATAAAGGTTTCTAACTACAGCACCGCCAGCGGCTGCCCTGTTTTCATTCTCTTTGGTGCAGTTTTGCATCGGTATACTGAACTCTCTTTGAATGGGCTGCTGTGTATCCTGTCTTCCATCTAAGTCAAACCCAGCCTTTCATACTAAAACTTGCTGTGGTTTAATCTTGTTAATCTGTTGGAATTCCTAATACTGCAAGTATTTTAATCATCTTTAATAACATGCCATTTGGATGAAAGATACTAAGTAAGCGAACAAGAATCAAAAACATGTAAAAATGTGCCACTGTATTATATAACACTACACACTTTCTTGACAGTTACTTTTTGTAGTATGTAATTGACATGTGCATAATACGTGAAGTAAATAAAAATTGCAAAAACCGTATTTGTGACTCATTGCTTTAAAAATATAGACGTATGGATATGTGAGATACCTAGGGTGATTGTAACAAAATTGAAAAGGTACCTCAATATTTTCTTACGTGCGTTGCACATTAGGATCAATTTCTTGGTAGATGTAGGATGCAAATTGAATTACTATTAAAAGGACATTATGTGCCCCAAAGTTGATGAGTTTCAGTTTTCCTGCCAGTTTAAATTATATATAACTCACATGGCATATAAGAGTTTTGACACCTCTTTGATGTGCTTGAAAATTTAGATTGCACTGTGGCTATTGAGACTATAGCTGACAAATAAACTAGTTCAAACCAACTTCTCCCTGTGGACATGCCAGCTGCTCACGGTACCGAATATTCACTGTAACTGAGCTATTTCTACCTGGTTTTTAGCCTACTTGTGCACTGCACTAGTCCAAAGTTTCTATGGGCCTCTTGGCAGGCATTGGCATCGAGTGCCTTACAGATGAGAATTATAAAGATACACGTCGGGGAAGTCTGAAAATTTGTGCCATTGGGCTCTCCACCCTCCTGAGCTCTTTATGTTGTGTAAATCACCCTGTGATCCTCAGATGAAGGGTAGTACAGAATAATTCTTGTGGAAAGCTTTCTCCATCGCACTTATGCTACCAACCAGGTTTGAAGCCAGTCTGCCAATATTAAGTCAACTGGTTATTTTTATTTAAAAATTCTAAATTTATTACAAAGGTGTCCCCAGATCTGGGCAGCAGATCTTTTGAGAAATAATTATTTACTACTTTGCCAAAGTATATATTTGTATACGAAGGGACGCGGGTGGCGCTGTGGGTAAAAGCCTCAGCGCCTAGGGCTTGCCGATCGCATGGTCGGCGGTTCGAATCCCAGCGGCAGGGTGCGCTCCCGTCGCTCGGTCCCAGCGCCTGCCAACCTAGCAGTTCGAAAGCACCCCCGGGTGCAAGTAGATAAATAGGGACCGCTTACTAGCGGGAAGGTAAACGGCGTTTCCGTGTGCTGCGCTGGCTCGCCAGATGCAGCTTCGTCACGCTGGCCACGTGACCCGGAAGTGTCTCCGGACAGCGCTGGCTCCCGGCCTCTTGAGTGAGATGGGCGCACAACCCCAGAGTCTGGCAAGACTGGCCCGAACGGGCAGGGGTACCTTTACCTTTACCTATATTTGTATACATTTGTATACCTCCCTGCATCCAACAGAAAAAGTGTGAGTCCTTTTGAGAAGAGCAGGGGCAAGCCTCCTCCCTGACATTGCGTTGCCATTTGAGCAGGGTGGGGAGGAGGCTGCGCAGGGTGACCAGGGTGCGGCCAGCAGTCGTGTGCCTGGGAAGGATGCAAGCGGGGCTGTGAGGCGCACCAGTGATGCAGAATGCATGCAGAGCGCCCTTCTCAGATGCCGCCCTCCTCCCGAATGGAGTGCTCTTCCCCAGGACACACCTGCGGGCTTGATTTCATTTATTGTATTTATACAGCACATTTTTCTCCAAAGGAGCTCACAACAGCCCTGTGAGGTAGGCTAGGCTGAGAGGCAGTGAGTGGCCCCAGGTCGCGCAGTGAGTTTCAGGGTTGAGGGACGGACTCGAACCCTGCTCTCCCGGGTCCCAGTCCGGCCCTCTAACCGTTACGCCACAGGCCAAGCGCGAAGAGGCCGCCCGCCGGGCAAGCGCTGGAGGCCAGGGCGGAAGCGGACGCCGCGGCTCTCGCGGTTGCTAGGGAGCCGCTGTTGCTATGGACGGGAGGGGGAGGGAGGGAGGGAGAGCGCGCGTGCATAGCGGAGCGGTGCGCCTGCGCGCGCGGCCCGGAGTGCCCGGATGTAGCGGGAGGAGGCGCCGCCGCCATCTTTGCCCGGAGAGCAGCGAGAGCTGATCGTGGTTGAGCCCCCCCCGCCGGACCATCGGTCTCCATCCGCCCCGCGCAGCCCCCGCCGCCCTCGCCCGACGGACATGGACGACCGGGAGGACCTCGTCTACCAGGCCAAGCTCGCCGAGCAGGCCGAACGCTACGATGGTGCGCGCGGGGGGCGACGACGACGCCGACCCTCTGGCCGGCGGAGGCGGAGAGGGACGGAAGGGAGGGAGGGAGGCAGCAGGCCGGCCAGCCAGCCGGGGAGCCAGAACAGACAGGGCGGCGGCGGGCGACCAAGGGCCAGCGGAGGGAGGGAGGGGCGGGCGGCTGCCTCGCTGGCTGGCGGAGGGGAGCGCCGGGCACAAAATGGCGGCGCGGGCCGGCAAGACGGGGCGGGCGGGCGGGCGGGCGGGCGGGGAGGCGGCGGCGACAGAGGGAGAAGCGGCGGGGCGTGGGGGGGGCGCACACAAAATGGCTGCCGCGCGCGACAGGCGCTGAAGACGCCGGCGGGGGAGCGGGGGCGGGCGGCGTGAGGGTCTCCTGGGCGGGGAGGACAAAGCCCCACGCTGGGCCTGGGCGGCTCCCGGAGGTCTCGGCGGCGCAGAGGGGCGTGGCGGGCGGGGGAGCCAGCCGGAGGGCGACGCGGCTCCTTGTTCCGGGCGGGCAAATGGGCTCCCTCTCTTACGTCCACCCATTTCCCCGGTTCCCGCAGCCCCCGATCGCCTGGCGGGGGTGTGTGTGTGTGTGTTCCCTGTCAGTTTCGCGCCCCGCACTGGGGACGGGCTCCCGAGGTGGGTCTTTTTTTTGCCCCAAGCTGGTTAGTTCAAGCGAGCACTCTTCCCCCCCCCCCAACGTGTTCCCTTGGAAAAGACCGGCAGAATTCTTGGGTATTCGCCAGGCTCCACTGCCCGTTATTGGGCAGGGGGAACAACCATTCTGAGACTCGCAGGAAGATAATGGGGGGGGGGGTTACTGGGAAATAATAGCATGCTTGCTTAGCTGCCATCACTGTCCCTTGCTGGGGAACTGAAGATGTGGGGATTGCTTAGGTCCATTTGCTCTAGTATTTAAAAGCATCTGCTGCTGTGAAACCCGGAAGCAAAAGTACACTCCCCGCTTCACTCAGTTTCTCCTTAAGCTTTACAACCTGTAGGGAGTAAGCATTTACCTGGGTTTGTGTGACACTGGCCCGTATCTTTTCTCCATGCTGAGGGGCAGGCAGAGAGTGTGGGGTGGTGCCCTTGTTCCTGTGGATAGCACACATTGATCGCAGTGCAGGGAGGTTCTCTCCAAAGCAGGGGAGGGTGGAGCTGTCCAAGGCAGAAAGCCACTTACTATTAGGTGGCCTGTTTCCATCCCATGACGGCTGAGCTTACAATACAAGGAAGGCTGTATTTATTGAAAAGGAGCTGGGCTATTTGCGGTGACGTGTGGACACACTAGGAGTTGTAAACGCTTGACCCAGCCGGCTTTTTGCAGTCTTCGCATAAAGTGCCTTTTAGCTCCTTGTAGACCATGGAAGTCGCCACCTTTGGAGTTTATCCCTTGCCTGGGTAGCCGCATCTTGGGCAAAGGAAAGTGGCAATGGCTTAGAGTGCTGAACAGCTTGTGACTACCACTCTTGGGCATGCCTGTGTGTTTTTTGTGATGACCTGGTTCCGTTTCACCTGTCTGCTTGAAATGTTAAGGCTGAGCTGACTTCTTATTTCACCTCACGTGGTACATCTAAAGCATGGTAGGCTGCCTTTCAAAGGCTCCCTGCAGACTACAGGAGCTGAACATCACAGGTGCTCTTCTTCCTCCCCCTGCCCCTTCCAGGTTACAGCTGCTCTCCTTAACACCAAGAGGCGAGAGGTTCTCCCAGAGCAGGAGGCCTTTCCTGATTATGAAAACTGAGCTTCAGAAGTGCAGTATAAGGTCAAAGGCACTCCCTGCTTGGCAGTGGCCTGGCAACCCCAGATGTTTGGGTGACTTCTAAGCATAAATGGGCATGAGACCATGAAGGTGCCCTGAATATACTTCATTGCCCAATGTGTTTCAGGTTAAAACCTGTACTCAACTCTAGAAACATGATACATGCAGATTAGCATATTTTCAAGACTCCCGCCTGAATAACAGTATTGCTTTAAATTCTTTTGGGTAAATGTCTCCTGAGCATTCTTAGTGTCCCTCTTTCCCCTTTTGGTTCCTGCATTTGTTGCCTCTTCATCTTTCCTCTGCTAAAGCAGCCAGGTAACACCCCTTGTCCCCTGCTTCTTAGCCTTTCCAATGCTTCTGTTTCTGCCCTCTTCCCCTCCAAATTTAGAAACTTATATTTTGGAAGCAGAAGCAATTATGCAGTGTAAACATGTGACAACAGATATCAGAATACAATCCGGTCATTTTCATCACGGTTCTCCAGCACACATCTGGCTCAGCATAGCTTGGAATGCCTCATCTTCTATCATATAGCAGATCTTGACTGCAGCTGGTGCCCAGTGATATGTGATGGTTGCCCCAAAGCAGCTTTACATAAAGGGCTTCCCTTTTAATATGGATACAATTTGGAGTTGGTTGATATATTTGTGCTCCATTTCTGATTATTGTTCTTTGCTACAGTGTGTATAAATTCACTGTAGTGAAGGCACCTTCTGTTTTCATACTACATGTGCATGGACAGGAGAACACTTGAGGGCTGAAAAAGTTGTATGATGTACATCTAATCTGAGTAGCTGACCTGAAATCACAGCCCTGGTGGTTTGTAGCTCAGCACGTCAATGGTGCAGCTCATCAGTGCCCTTTCCTGGCTCCTTGGAATAGCATAATGGATGCAAAATGAAAGTGCTTTGGTGATAACAATCACACCACTTGAGTTCTTGTAGGTCTGTGAGGCTGTCCTGGGTTGTGCAAGTGGCTGCCTGCCTCCTGCCTCCCCTGCTCAGGTTTGTCCAGACTGACATTAATTCAAAGCCAGGCTTGTGTCTGGTTTGGTGATGGTTTTGAATGGAAGGGCATGGAGAGCAACTCTGCTCAAGCACACACAGACACACCTATTCTCTCTTTAGAAATGGTTGAGTCAATGAAGAAAGTAGCTGGGATGGATGTTGAACTGACCGTCGAAGAAAGGAACCTGCTGTCTGTTGCATACAAAAATGTAATTGGCGCTAGAAGAGCTTCTTGGAGAATAATCAGCAGCATTGAACAGAAAGAGGAAAACAAAGGTGGAGAAGACAAATTGAAGATGATCCGGGAGTATCGGCAAATGGTGAGTGCTCAGGAGAGAAGGGACCCCTGGGACGCTTGAGGGGCAGCTGGCGGGGTTTGCAACCCTACATGCAACACAGTCCAGTGGGTGGGTGGGGGGCTCACAGAATTCTGTTGTCGTTGAAAGCATCAGTGTGTGAGTTTTGTATTGTGGAACATAACTTCTCCAGCTGCACAGCCATGCAGGTAAGGGTTGCTTCATGATTTCTCTGTGATGGCTGTGTTTGGGATTGAGCAAGACTTTTCCCAGTGTAGACTGAGGCATGGGTGAGCTTGGGGATTCCCCTCCCTCCCCAACATCCCAGCTGCATTGGTCTGTTGGGCTCTTTGCCAGCAAAACTGTGTGGACCTTGCAGTGGTCTTTTGCTTGCGCTCTTCAATCCCATTCAAGGTGCACTTGGACCTTTCCTTGACCTGGGCAGCTGCTTCTTGAGGCACCTGCTCTCTTCCTGGTCTCTGCCTGTTCCAGTCAAGGTGCTGGCTATAAATGTGAAAGAGGAATGAGGAGCTGTCTTCAGGGCTGCTGGTTACATCACAGGCACACATTTCATCCTCCGCTGTGTAGCAAATCAACCAGGGTTGCTGGCGTTTATACTAACAACCGCAACTTTCACAGAAGGGACAAATCAGCTGGTTTGAGGGAACCCTAAGATTTACAGAACTACCAAAGAGGGTAAAAAGCCCTGAAACAGCCCATTGGGAACAAAAACTTCCCAGCTGCTGTTTACCTTTTTCAAGGGATGGGAAAGATGGAAAAGTGATGCTCGGGTACAGGTGGGGGCAGAAAGGACCTTCTTAGAAAAGGGCTAGAACCCGAAACTAGAATCGCTTCACCTTGGAGAGTGTTGCTGCCCATCCTACTTGCTTAGACTGAATCCTGTAACAATAAGGCTATCTCTGCTTGTGAAATGCCTTTCCTGCTTTTAGAAGACAGTGGATTTGGTTCTTGGGCTTCTGGCCCTCAAAGGCCTTGGGTGCTTCTCTAGGAGCCCCAATAGATTCAGGAAATGGGATTCTTAGAGCACAGGGCAGCTGCAAGGCAAGCGTTCATTCGACCAGGAATAAAAAAAACTTTCTGAAATCTAACGGACAAACAAGCAAACCCATGACTATCCTCTTCCAGTTAAGCATACATTTTCTGAACACAACTGCCAGTTTTATGGGGTGGCTGTGAATTTAATTCTTTATATTTGCAGCCCTGTAACAAGGTCACATGGTGTGTCATTAAATAAATAAGAAAAGACATTGTGTTGCATCTGATACAATAAAATAAGTCTTTAATAAGCTCCGGGGATAGCTCGGTTGGAGCAAGGTACTGATAATACCAAGCTTGCAGGTTCAGTCTCCATCTGGGACAACTGCATATTCTTGCATTGCAGGGTATTGGACTAGATGATGCTCGGGCCCCTTTCAGCTCTGTGTCTACGATTGTATGAAAACCATGGGCAATATAAAAGTCAAAGCAAAGAGCAAATCATGGTTCTGGAATTATGTGGAGGAGAGAAAAGTATCCACTCCCTTCACAGCACTTGTTACATTTCTCCTTAGCTTTTCGGCCCTCTAAAGGTTGCATCCCATGGTGTCTCTTTGCACATGGAGGCTTCTATCAATTGGAGGGAATGGGTGGTTCCCTTTTCCTCTGCACCCTCCTCCTTCTCACATTGGCTCCAGAGGGGCAGTATTCATGGGGCATGCAGGAGAAAGGGGGAATTGCAACAGTTGGCTCCTGATCCTGGAAACCCCTGCGGGAGCCAAGTGTAAAAGAGCACAAATGGTTAGCCAACCTTTTGGAGTGTGAACCTTTCCTCCTTGTGAAGATCTGCCCACTTCTCCAGTGCTTCGATATCCTTTTTGAAACCAGACAACCAGCCCTGTACCTGCATTTCAAGCACAGACAGATCATCTATTTATATATAAGGCATTTATTATATCCATCCCTTTCCTCATAATGCCAAATATTCAGTTTGTCATTGACTGCTGCAGCACAGAGTTTGGCCAACCATGGAAAGCCTGCAAGCAGGACATGAGCACAATAGCACCCCCCCCCCGGTGGATTCCACCACAGCACCAGGTCTGAATGGTCTCATTTTGTTCCAAGTGGACAATCTTTGGGGTGGGAGATCCTTTGTTTGGCACCCATACCTACAATCGAGCATGCTGCCCTTTGCATAAAGATGATGGGAATCGCTTGAACTGGAATTGTAAGGGAATAATGGTGGTGCCTCTGTGCTGTGGAAATAAAGCTGCCTAACAGTGGGCACCCATAAGTCTGCACTGGAGCACAGTGAAGAATTTGCATCTTAGGCAAACCAAGCTCTGAAAAGTTCCCTGGATCTTTAAAGGGCTTTGTCTGTTGTATTCAGTTCATAACAGTAGATACATTGGTACGGTAAAGGTACCCCTGCCCGTACGGGCCAGTCTTGCCAAACTCTAGGGTTGTGCGCTCATCTCACTCTATAGGCCGGGAGCCAGCGCTGTCCGCAGACACTTCTGGGTCACGTGGCCAGCGTGACAAAGCTGCATCTGGCGAGCCAGAGCAGCACACGGAAACACCGTTTACCTTCCCGCTAGTAAGCGGTCCCTATTTATCTACTTGCACCTGGGGGGTGCTTTTGAACTGCTAGGTTGGCAGGCGCTGGGACCGAACGACTGGAGCGCACCCCGCCGCGGGGATTCGAACTGCCGACCATGCGATTGGCAAGTCCTAGGCGCTGAGGTTTTACCCACAGTGCCACCCACGTCCCTAGATACATTGGTACCTCGGGTTATAGATGCTTCAGGTTACGGACTCCGCTAACCCAGAAATAGTACCTTGGGTTAAGAACTTTGCTTCAGGATGAGAACAGAAATCGTGCGGCAGCAGGAGGCCCCATTAGCTAAAGTGGTACCTCAAGTTAAGAACAGTTTCAGGTTAAGAATGGACCTCCAGAACAAATTAGGTTCTTAACCCGAGGTACCACTGTAGTGTCTCAACCTTGGATTCAAATAAGAGTTTAGGGTGAGTTGCTGGATCAAATAGCAAATCATTCAGTGGTCACTGGGAAATTAGGAATAACTTAGATCGCCCTATTGCAGTGATCAGTTGGGCATGCATTTGCACTACAGTGAATACACATATAAGGGGGTATTGTTTCTGAAAGCCGAAGATTTTGGGATCAGGGTGAGGTGGAAGGATGTCGCTGTGAACAACAGCTGGGGGGAAAGTGGGCAAAAAGAATTCCCTACAGGCTCCTAGGTTGAGATCTGTGGGACACCTGATGAAATTTGGGCATCTCCCCACCCAATCCCCGCCTTGGATTGCAAAACAACAGCTAGCCCAGCAGGCCTCTTCCTTCAGACCCTCCATTCTGCCCCCTGGTGCATTTAAGTGGGGCACGGGGTGCATCGTGGCCTCTCTGCTCCTACTTTGTATACCTCTTGGGCTTGTAGGGGAGGGAGGTAAATCCTTGAGTCAGAAACTTTACCTGGGCTGGAGGCAGGGATTGGAAGGCAAAGCAGCACACTTTTCCACAGGAGCGAGACTGATGATTATTCAAAAATTCTGTTAAAGTTCTGTTTGTTTATTCATTGGCAGCAGGTTTTCTGAACTGGCCATTCTTTTTTCCTCTCTCCCCCAAGGTTGAGACTGAATTGAAACTAATCTGTTGTGATATTCTGGACGTACTGGACAAACACCTCATTCCAGCAGCCAACACTGGCGAATCCAAGGTTTTCTATTATAAAATGTAGGTGTGAAATGGGGAAGGTGCCTTAACTATGATGCTTGTGGGTAGAATGGGTTCTTCTCAAAGGTGACGGGATCCTCCCTAGTGGTGTAACATGTTGGGAGGCAGGGGCAGGAGGGGATGAACAGTTCTCCTCCTGCCCCCTCCAGAAGGAAGCAGAAGTCCAGAGAGAAATGGAAGCGTTTAGTAATATTTTTCATCAGTTCTTGTATAATATTGTTAAGAACATAAAATGTATTGTGAACAACATAGCAAGCATTAGTTAGCACAGAAAGTTATACTCCTATATTTATTAAATTTGACATGAATGAACGCCTTGCCTTTATTCAGACAGTAAACTAGCTACTTCACCATAAAGTAACAAACATTTCATGCTTTTTTCTTGGGGGGGGAATTATGTTTAAGGCAGAAAACTATCAGTAAAGAAAAGGAAATTGTATTATTTGAGCTTAGAAACAAATCTGTCTCTACAGTCAACAGCCTGCATAGCTGGTTATTTATTTATTTATTTAACTTATATATTTAAATTTCTGCTTAAATGTTCTATATGGAATGCTATGCCAGCTGGTAAGCTGTTGAAGTAAGCAATGTTTTCTTCTTTCCTTCCACCTGCCCCCAGGAAAGGGGACTACCACAGGTATCTTGCAGAGTTTGCCACAGGAAACGACAGGAAGGAAGCTGCTGAGAACAGCCTGGTGGCTTACAAAGCTGCTAGTGACATTGCAATGACAGAACTTCCTCCAACACATCCCATCCGCCTAGGACTTGCCCTCAACTTCTCTGTTTTCTACTATGAAATCCTTAATTCTCCTGACCGCGCCTGCAGGTGAGGAGCAGCCCCCCGCATGGGAGGGTTGGGGGGAGGTGCAGCTCTGAGCAGGGGTGAGAAGCAGAAGATGTCAGGGCAGAGGGGCGGGTGTTTCAGCTGCCACTGCTTCTGGGACTCTGGGCCTGTTGGAGTGTGCAGCCAGGTAGGCATGCAAAAGGGTCGCCCTTGTGTGCCCGCCCATACACCCCTGGTCATCTTTGTGGGTTAAAACTTTGCTCCCCTGGTGAGAGGCAAAAGGTGGAGAAAGTCCTGATAGTGCTGCAGAAGTGGGCAGTGGCACCTCAGTGGCGGTTTTGCATAAGAGCCCTGCAGCCAAAGGGAGGCCACCTATTCTAGCCTCCTGTTCTCACAGTGGCCCAAGGGAAGCCCATGAGTAGGACTTGAGTGCAACAGCTCTCCCCTCGCACAGTTTCCAGGAACTGGCATTGAGGAGCATTGCTGCCTCCGACCATTGTGTAGCCTTGTCCTCCGTGAATTGGTTTTGATTTGATAGATCTGGTACCTTGGAACACTTTGTCATCTGTCTCCTTGTAGGTTGGCAAAAGCAGCTTTTGATGATGCTATTGCAGAACTGGATACGCTGAGTGAAGAAAGCTATAAGGATTCTACACTTATCATGCAGTTGTTACGTGATAACCTGACACTATGGACTTCAGACATGCAGGGTGACGGTGAGTAGCTGATGATGCTCCAGCCTTAAGCTTAACATGGGAGAGAGCAAGTGGGGCAGAAGGTTGCAGTGCGTCCCCATGGTTCCAGCTAGCCTGGAACAGGAAGTGTCACATTGGTTAGGCTGTTGTGGGGGGCACGGTATTTAAGAAGTAGGGAAGAGATAGGGGACACCTTTTCTCTCTCCCAGCTGAGCACCTTGGGACTGTCAGCCTCAAAGCTGAGTCTTTTAATGCTTATATTTTGGGACATGCAGTTGTGATTCCCCATCTAGGATTCTTACTGGCATGACACCAGAAATGCTCCAGTTCTTCTTCTCCATATTTCCAACTGACACATGGATAGTCTCTTGTCTTTTTCCAGGTTTCAACCATAAATGATTGATTGATTGATTGATTGATAGATAAACGGACACAGTCTGGCTTCCAGTTTATGTTGACCCTTTTCCCTTTCCCATGGGCTCAGCTGCAAGCATTTTTTTTAAACTACCTTTTCCTTTTAGTTTTTCCACAGTTTTTAATTGCATACTTGCATACTTATGTGTGCCCAAGGATCTCCTTTAGTATGTATAAGCCTCTGCATTGATAGATGCTCAGCCACTTGAATTTGCTGTTGGAGGGGTGACTGTGTGGCCTCCCCTTCTAGCAGGGCAGCTCTTGCTCAGGATGCCAGACATCTACTCCGCCCTCCAAGTTACTAGGGACTGTCAGGAGCCCAAGCAGGGCTTTTCCTCAGCACTCCTCATTTTCTTTTCCAGCTCTTCAATGTGCTCATGAGACTGTTTTTCTGGGGTTGCATTTGCTTTTTCCTTTCAGCTGCACTCCTGTGAGCCTTGTTCTCATTCTTCTGTGGCCTTGTTTTGGGCTCATTCGGTGACTGCATTTGCTACTGCAGTGAGTTGACATCTCTGGGTGACAGGCAGGAGGAGGGTGTTTCTTATGTACCTCAAGCATTTAGTTTGAGAATCACAATTTTTAAATTCATTACAAGCAACCCCACTTACGCAGAAGATATGTTCCGAGGCACTGCACTCATCTGCAAAATTGCATATATTTGAAGCACCATTGAAAAAGCCTGCAAACACCCCCCCCCCCCCGTGATGCTTTTGAGTCACTTCTGGGTTCAGTGTGCTCCACTATTGCACACACATTTAGCACGTGTAAACGGGTGGGGTGCCTGTATTATGCATATTGCTGATTGCCTCAGAAAAACATTTCTCTAGGCAAAAATACATTGGGTACAAAACAACGTTAAGGCAGCAGAAATGCAGTCACTTCAATATTGAATCCAGGCCTAGCATTAAAAAGCAAACAAGGACAAGCCACAAAATACATCACAGATAAAAAGAGTTCAAAAGGCCATGAGGGCAGAAAGCAGCCAGTTGCCATCATGAACTTTGCATGTCAGCTGGGGTCCCACGGAGAAGTCTTGGTTCCACGTAGCGGGCAGTTTGATTCCCTCAGTTTAGCTGTGAATGCTGGAAGAAACTTGTTCAGTCCCAGACTAGTTGCAAAGCGTGAAGTGATGTGGGGAAAAGAAAATGATGGTCATGATCGCATGAGATGTTTCTGTTGAGACCACCAGCCTCATAACGGGGTGTGTTTATTTATAGGGGCTGACCTTTAGTTTCAGAATTATGATCAGTCTTTTGAAAAAGACAAAATTCACTTTCCCAGCTGGAACTTTGCTGCTGTTTAAAATCAGGAATGCCTGGCCATCATTCGTTTGGTCCTCTGCAACAAAATAAAAGCGATGAGATAGTTTCCTCTTTGTTGAAAAAGAAGCATCATCATGATTTTCACAATTCACGTGGCAGATCTTTCATCTCATGAGATGGAAAAGTGTTCTGGTAGCTTGACTTGGCATTGGTAAATGCAGAACTGGTAACAGTGCAGAATGTTGGTGGCTGGAAGGCGGCAAATGCGCTTGTGCTTGGTACATGATCCAGACAAGGTGTGGGATGGCATCGCATGGAACCAGAGCAAGTGAAATGGAGCTGAGCACCTTGTCTTGGGTCCTGTAGGAAACCGACCCTCCTAGCCACTAATAGTTGGAGTGCTAATGTGGCACCCAGCATGCTCAGAGGGGTCCTGAAGTTTTCAAGAGTACAAAGCAGCATGTGTTGCTGATAACCTGCCCACCCAAAAAGAAGCCCCAAGGCCAGTGATGAGGGGGAGAGGAGCAAAAGAAGCTCCATACTGCGTCAAACCATTGATCCGCCTAATTTGATAATGTCTGCGCTGACTAGCATAAGCTCAGCAGGGTTTCAGGCAGGGAGTCTTCCGACCCTACTTGAAGACACCAAGGATTGAATGTGGGGCCTTCTGCTTGCAAGGCCAGGTGCTCTGCCACATTTTTACCCCAAATGGACTAGATGTTTTTCATCACAAACAGGGAGCACTCCATGCTGCAGATGCCAGTGCAATAAACGTAGCAGTATTTGGTGTCAGATACTTTCCACACACATTCTCAGGTAGTCAGCAAATTGTCCAGATTTGGATTCCAACAGTTATTTTTTCTAGACGGTTGGTATGTTAAAAAAAGGGGGGGGCACATGGCCCTTTCCCAGGCAGAATTAAGGAAAAGCGCTTTTAGGACAGGTGGCCTTGGGCTTCGTTTTGTCAGACTTGGACGCCCCACTCCCAGCTAGAGAACAGACCCCCTCTCCCAAACCCTGTACGGGTTCTCCACCCAGCTCTTCACTGTTGCAGCACTCCCTGAGTCTTACCACAGGCACACCATTCAGCACCAAGGTGGGGTTCATCTAGCAGAAATGGTTTTGGTGGTGAAGCCAGTATTTCTCTTCTTTGGGAAATCTTAAGTGTTGCTGTCAACCCTCATTTTCATTCAGCTCAGTATTGAAAGGTCCAGTACCTTTTTGGGTCAGGAGTGTGAGGCGGCAGCAGGAGAGAAGGGCTTTTTAAAATCAATTTTTATATGTCCTAGCTTTCTTTGTATTTATGCAACACATAAAATTTATGCTTTTTGTATTGTGTACATACCATTGTTTATATGGTTTTGTAATTTTTGCATAAGTTTTTCTATGTTGTTACCCACTCTGGAATTGGTTTTTTTTTTTTTTAGTGGAGTGGACTATAAATACTGTAAACAAAACAGAACAAATCCAAATTAGAATAGTTTAACAATAATAAAGCAAAAAGTTAAAACCACTGCAAGCACAGCAACTTTAAAAAAACAAAAAACCAGTATGGAGCGTTGCATGGTGCACAGATCTCAAATCACTAAAATAGATGCACCCGTTACAGTGAAAATGCCTGGGAGGACGAAAAGGTATTCACTGGGTACTCAAAAGGTCATCCTGTGGACTGCCACCTTCCAAAGGCCCTGCCCCCACCTCAGCTGCTCAAGGAAGTATCAGAAGAGCAGCAAGGGGTAATCCATTCCTCCTTTTGGGGGAAGTTAATTAGTTTTTCATTCAGTAGTCATCCGTATTGTGAAATACAGGCAGCAAGCGTTTCACATGGGGTGTCCTTTCCCAGCCCCTATGCTCTGCCCCACTCCAGTCTTCTTTCAGGTCCAAAAGGACCAGTGCATCTGCGATCGTGTGTCAATTAGACCTGCTTAAAGTGGACACTACCTGTGTGCTAAAATGACACCCAGGGAAAAGATGCATTCTTAGGAATCCACTTCAGGATGACTGATTCTGCCTCAAAAGTTATTGGTTCGAGTTGTGAGAAAGTGTGAAGGGTGAAAAGGGAGCATCAGTGCACAGTGGCAGTTCCCAGATGTGCCTGACTTTTGTGTGTGCTGGTATCTTTGCAGTCCCTTTCCTAACCAGCCAGATTGGGCTTGCCACATTCCCATCTCCTGCTTTCCGTCAACATTGTACCTGGGCTCATTTGCTGCCTTTCTCTAACTCCTGTTTTCCCCCCTTTCTGTTGTGTAGATTCTTAAAAGGAACTTCACCTGTTCATTTTCTAAAACTCTACTTTGTAAGTCTTCGTGATTACTTGGGGAGTGACTGTTTTCCTCCTTGGCACTAATGCTCGTGGTCCTGCTTGCATATCTTGATTCTTTCAGGGCTGTGCACCAGCTCACCTGCTTCCCATAGGTTCTGAATATGGGCCATTGGCATTGGGTTTCTGGAGACCTGGGCAGGCCCCCTTAAGCGCTTGCTCTTTGGGCAGTTTTCAACACGTTTCTGTGCCTCTCAAAATGGCAAAGCTTAACTTCTGCACTGCCAGGGTTGCCCTGAGCTTATCATTTCAGTGGCCCCCATGAAAGGGCCTGGCACGTGCAGTGACGTATCCCTTCTACCTCTTGCAAGAGGAGTGCCAGGAGGGAGAGGCACAGACGGCATTTTGGCCATCTTGTTCTACTGGTTGATCCAAGTCCTGCATGTCTGGGGCTAGATCCATGCCATGTTAGGCGTGTTCTCCTTTGGGTGTAGGGGTCCATGCTTGTGTGTGTAAGGTCAGGCACCAACTGGTTGGTGGCAGAGGGCAGTGGAGCAGTCTGTGTTCATTGCATGCTTCAGTCTGAGGAGGTGGCTCCAAATTAATGCCAAGCATGTGAACAGCCTTGGTCAAAACAACCCTTTCTGTAACCTTTGGCACAAGGCTGCTTGTGTTGGAGTTGCAAAGTAACCATTAAAACAGTGTTTGCCTTCTGCAGAGCAGGTTTGCAGGGTAGACTAACAGTGTGTTGCTGTAGAGATAGGAGCCACTGAAAAGAGCCATGGTCCTAGGGTGAAAGGAGGAAGGCGTTTCTTTTGGCTGTAGAAGTTACTTGGTTATTTTGGATGCTTGTTTTGATGGCCAGCATTTGAGATTTCACCAATGCGGTGGGGGGGGGGCTGCTCTCGTCACTGTCAGGCACCCCCTGCTGGGCTGCCCACTTGTCCTGCCGCTGCTGTGAGGGGCCAAGCTCTGTAGGTGAATCCTGGCAGGCAGAGGCCTCAACGACAGGGTGATCTGCTGTCCTACAGCCATGGCCTAATTCTGTTGTTTTCCTTCCCAGGTGAAGAACAGAGTAAAGAAGCGCTGCAGGATGTGGAAGATGAGAACCAGTGAGACATCAAGGCCAATAAGAGACCCCCATCTTTGTCCCCCTTCTACCGCACCCACTCCCATAAGCCCCTCAGTGTCCCTGGGAACCATCTGATCTGACGTTTGTGATGGGCCCCAGAATTTAGGTTCCTACCCTGTTGGTTTTTTTACACAGTTGAAAAGTTCTTTAAAAGGCAAGAGTGAATGTCTGTGGATTTTACTGGTGCCAGCTTTCAGTTTCTTTTAAGACACTAACCGGACTGGCTGCATAGAGGCTTTTTCTGCATTCCTGTGTTGTCTTCTGTCAGTGTTGGAGGTGACATCTGGAAGCCATTAGAATTCTAGCAGAGGCTTGCACTGTAGAGTGCATGTGTTGGCATTTTTCATTTTTTATAATTGTTTAAACAATTTTATATGAGTGTTTAGAATTGGGCGTTTAGCTTGAAGTTACCGGTTTCATTGGGACAGTTCTTGTAGTGGTTTTGCTGTAAAAGAAAAAACAAAAAGCAAAAAAAAAAAATCCAACTGTGCTGAGATGATGTTGCTGCAACAGACGGTGCTGGTAACGGTTCAACAATCCGTGGCTGCTCATTCTTGCCTTCTCTTTACTTTCCCTCCAAGCAGGTTAGCATTGAAGGTGGCGTTGAAAGCCTGCATGTGTGTTCAATATTTTTCTCTCCCTCCCCCCTCCCTTTTCGCTAGCTCAACCTCTTTTGTTCAGTATGTGTAACTTGAAGCTAATTTGTACTACTGGATATCTGACTGGAGCCACAGATACAGGATCTGTATTGTTCTTACTGAAACACAGCATGGAATTAACATTAAACTTAAATAAAACAACCCTAAATTAAAATGATGCCAAATACTACTGCTACTTTACCCTGGTAAATGTTTAGCAAGAGCTGCAGACCGAACAAGTAGCAGGAAGAAAAGTGTTACTTAATGGAAGAGAGGCTGGCTGTAGCATAATGGAGAGGGAGGCCATCACCAGAATTTGTGGGTCTCAATTGGCGGCTGCCCAGAGAGCGCAAACTTGGGCACTGAATCAATCTGAGGTGGTTCATCTGCTTAATTGTTGCATTGCGAGGAAACAGTTTTTATCAGGGAAGCAGCAAGGCAGACGCCTGCCTAACTGGGTCAAAAATTTGTACTCTGGTTGAGCTAGAACACCTTTTTGAAAACCAAGCCATGCTCCCTTTCATTTCTTAACAGCTCTGTTTCCTTTCAAAGTTCAACTCCGCTGTTAGCTGTGCTCAGACCTTTTGGTCACATGCTGACAAAACACTGAAAGGATTGTGGGGAAGCCTTCCGGCCCCCAAAACTGTTCCTTGGCTGCTTCAGCCTCCTTCTGCTAATGCCTTGTACTCTCCTCCTTCTGGTCTGAACTGTCTCCTTGCCTTTTAGCTTCATCTGGGCTTTCCCCTCTGGCTGAGCAGTGAGTCTGTTGGATAAATAAAATACTGTGTCAAGATTCTGCACCTCAGGCTGCTCTCTACTGAACCCTCTCAAAAGTGGGAAATGCTTCAGCACTCAACCAGCATCTGCCAGGCCCCACCAGTCTCCATCCCTTCCAGTAATATGCTTAGTGATGCCTTTCAGTACCCTTCTTGGTGAGTGGGTAGGGGCTTGGGGCTCTTAACATTGTTTCCCTCTTGAATGATGCCAAGAATTGTAGTTGGTACTGGAGGGTTAAAATGGATTGCTTGATTCAAGTGCCCATTCCTTTCAGCAGCCGCCCATTTTCATTTTTGAGAGCTGTTCCCTTCTCCCACCCCCCGTTTCTCAAAATGCCAAATGAGCCAGTGGTACGGCGAGTCTGCACATTAACGGATTTGTTTGGGGCAAGCGAGGTTCTGGCATTGCCCTTGTGCTAACAGCTGCTACTGCTCCTACCTGCACATAGAACTGAGGTTAATGGATCCCTTTCCTAGGGGTATAGCTGAAAAGAGTGAGCATCTAGCCTGCCACAAGAACCACCCGTCCGTTGAAATGCAGTCTTGAGCAAATGCCTGGTCCCAGGACCCCTTTTCTTTGTATTGGCCATGGAGTGGCCATCTTGGGTGCCTTGTTTGGCGATCAGAGCCAGGAGCCTGGTCCTCCTCCTGTGTTCCTAGGGCCTTCAGCCCCCTCCAGTCCACAGAAACGCAATGAACAGATCATACTAGTGTTGCGTGAAAGGTGTGCAGCTGCACAAACGGTTCCTTACACTTGCATGGGCTCTTCATACTTTTTAGCTATTTATACTTTAGTGGGTGCAAGATGAGGGAAGCCGCTTTGCAGCACCAACTGTACTACAGCTCTGATGAGAAACAGGTCACACACCCGTAATACTTGTGCCCTCCCCTTTCTGACTGAACAGGTGACAGCAGACGGTTTCTACCAAGGACTGCACAGCAAGGGGGATTGCAGTAGTTTGCCATTAGGCCTCATTCTGAGGCTGCTTGCTTCATCTTTCTTTGCTGCTAGCTGGAACCATATTGGACTCTATAGAGGGAGAGGCTGGCACGCCAAGCTCCAGGAGCAGTGAAGTAGAGGCAGACAAGGGCAAGAAATTTTCTGCTCAACATCCACCCCATCCCTGGCTGCCATTGCAGGCACCGTCACTTAGCAATCTGCCACTTCCCTCAGTGCTGGGCAGCAACCAATCTGTTACATGAATTTTTGATACAAGGAAGGAAAACGCCAAATAGTGCTGTAGGAGTCTGGCAGTGCCCAGCTGCTGGCTGCTATTGCATCTTTGGGGTCCCCATCAACTATTCCCTAGGAAGAGGTTGGAATTGGGAGGTTCTGGTTTCTTCACAGGTAATTCTGCTTCATGGGACCAGTTTTCAAAAACTCAAACCAGAAAAGAAAGACCATTAAGTTTAAAGTTTAAGTTTAAAGCAAGAATTGAGCACACTAATGGGAAGATTTGAGTTGCCACCACTGTCCATCCCAAAATGGGTCGTCTGTGAAAGTCACCCCAACTCCTCCTCTTCTACCTTCAACTCCCCTCTGAACTTGTATTGTGTACTGGTATATATATTTTACAAAATAAAGGGTTTTCCAGGCCAATGAAAGCCACACAGGATGCTGCCTTATGTAAGGTGAGAGTAATTCTCCATCTGGAGTATTTGGCATAGTGTCGGTTTCAGGGGTGGTGGGCTTCAGGCCCACAAAGCCAAGGTAATGGTGGTTTTGCGGGGGGGGGGATGCTGCAGCCTTGGGCTAGGTGGACAAAGTGCAATGATGAGGAAAATCATCAAACTCTGAAGGAGGAACAATCTGAGGGGTGGCGAGGGTCATTTCCTTTATTGGATGAGGCTGGGTAGGAAAATGGTCTCCTGGATGTGCATCTTAGGAGCCAGCCAGCTCTACTCCAGTCTGCCTACCAGTGGCTTCTCTGGATTTCGGCTCCTTTTAAACTGACAGTGCTGTGATTGAGTAGCTTCCACTGAGCTGTGGTTTCTAGGCTAGGCCAAATGCACACCTCCTCCTGCAGCTTTTACATCTGACCCAGGCTAAGAGATCTCCATAGCTAAAGCCACAGTCTGCCACCTGTCATTCATGGACAATGTCCCAGTGCACTTTAAAGCTAGTTTGTAATGCAAAGAAAAATCTGATTTTAGTAAAAATTTATTTGGCATTTATATAGCAATAGTGCATTAAATCTTATATACACTATAGCATGGACAGCATTCCAGGCCTGGTGCAACATTTATTCCCGTCGGAAAAGAAAATCTAATTGGGCTTCTGAAGGTCAGCAGCAGCAGCAGGATGCTAAGGATACAAGCACACCAAGTTCTACATCTTGCCCATCAGTAATGCAAAATCAAATAGTGCCTTTAAGCTTGTCCAGTCCAACCACAAAAGTGACTCGTATTCACATTTTTACACTAAAGAAGTTTTTCCTTTATCTTGAGTAAATTGTCCTTGAAAGCACTGCAGCTGCTGTTACTGATGACTTGTAACTACCTTCAAAAGATATCATAGCTCCTCCTTTTTTCTTTTATGGGATTAAAGAAGTGCTCAAACTTTTGTGGGTCCTGTAAAAGACAACTCATGCCTCCACATGGCAATTAAGAAATGAAAAGAATTCTGACTCAATGAATAGGGCTTTTCATATAATTTGAACATTCAGATTTAAAACGATATTTGGACACCAGATGGAACTGTTTCACAAAAAGCTTACCAAAACCAAAAGGTTGGTTTAGTGTCTTAATGGTGGTAAAAAACCAATACTTTTCCTTCCAAACCCAGGGGTTCCCACTGGAGCCTAAATTAAGCACCTTTGCATTCTTAAAACTGCACTTTATTTGAAAAGGCATTTAAAAAGCTCTGGTTCTGTTTCCATGCTTGTCACTTCATGATAAAATACCCTGCAAAGGCTGGGGGTAGATGGGATGAAAGTTCATAGCGGGGAGGGCAGTAACTTACAGGGGGAGAAACCCCAGAGGTAGCATGTGGGGGAAGGAAGCCATCGTTGCCAACTGTCGCAACTAAGCTGGCTGCAATAAGGCCTGGGGCAGAGAGATATTCCAGGCAAATAGCCACGAAGGACCAGAAGCCCCTCCCAGCACAAATGGATAGAGGCGCAAGCATGCCAGTCCTCTCTTGCAGCAAAAGCAGCCCACGTTTTTGATGCAAGATGCCACAAGACTGAACTGAGGAAATGAGAAGGTCAGGGCAAGGCAGACGGGCATTAATTATAGATTGCTATCACAGCTCTTCCAATTAAAAATAAGAAAATAGTTTTCAAAGTGCAAACATCCCATACAATGAGCTAGGGCATACTAACAGAATTACACACATGTATTATGGCTTTTACATTTTCATACAAAGCATCAAAAAATCTAGGAGAAAACATCTTCATAAAATATTTTTAGTATAAAATTTGGCATTTCGTTTAGTTGGCCGGCAGCTCTACAGGTTCTCTCCCTGCTGCTGCTGCTGTTCTGGGTCTGGCCTTGATGTGGCACACAGCCGTTCGATGCCCAGGGGACAGAGCAGCCACCACTGCTGTGACAAAAGGTTCCTGCCTGGTACGATGGAAACCAAAGGACATAATTAGAGGGTAATTCTTTGGATCTGCAGGTCTTTGGTAGCTAGAAAGAAGGTCTGCAAAGCAGCCCCCACCCCCAAAAAAGTTGGCAGGGAAAGTGTCCAGCCAGGATTACAGAATGTCGTCCGACGAAGAGGTCCCTTGCGGAAGGGCAGCTTTTGTCATCGAGAATTCAGACGAGGAGCCACCTGAGAAGAAGACAAAGGTCAGGTGTGGAAGGAGAGCGGCAGCTAGCCCAAAGCAGCTATTCCTGCTCAGAACTGAACAAGGTGAGCTGGCAAGGAGCCGGGTCAGCACTGAGCAGGAAGCGAGGCAGGGCTTTGCCAAGAGGGATGAGAGGCTTCTGGTGCAGCAGGAACAGCTGCATGAAGCCCATGGCACCTGCAGGGTCACAGGGGAGGGGGGGGGAAGCTGCCATCATAGCACCTCACAGAGACTGGCTTAGGAGCCGCATGGAGTGACCCCTGGGGGTGGGCAGGAGGGTGGAGCCACTCCCAGCTTGGCCAGCCCAATGCTACTTACAACCGCAAGATGGCCGTTCTTGGCTTTGGCGACCAGCAGTTCGGATCCCGATGTGAAATCAATGATGCCCTCTTTGCCTTGCCCAACAGTGAACTTTATGCTGTAGAGAAAGGGAAGGAGAAGAGTTGGGGCAGCTCTACTGGGGCATCTTGGCTCAAAGCACAAAAGCGGAACTTGGGACCTATAGCTGAGCCACGTCAAATCCATGTCACCACATACCCAGGGGTGGGATTAATAGATGGAAATTGGTATAATAATTTGACAATAAAAGGCAGGATTAAAATCAAAACCAACAAGCAAGTCTTGTCACTAGTACTGCCTCTTAAGTACAGTGACCCAATCTTCAACATGCTTCTCGTACATTCTTTTTGCAGTCCTAACATCCCTTTAATTCAGGCCATGGCTGTCTGCAGAGGAACAATCTGAGGCTGAGAGACTGGCCTCTGGTGAGCTGGGATTTGATATCAGGGCTTCTTGTCTGCATTGCCCAATGGCCTGGTGTGGCACTGGCTTTCCACAGCGGTGCAATACACAGGACATTCTTCTGGCAAAGCCGCTTGATCTATAGACTGCCCCTTCCCTTGATAAAGCAGGAGCAGGCCTGGAGGCCTTTACTCTTAAGAGAAGCAGGAGGGCGGTAGCTCATATGACCCACATCAGACAGGCACACATTTGAAAATAAAAGTATAGCAAGCTCACCTGCCCTGGTTGATATTCACACTGTTTACTTTGTTGGCACAGATTGCAATTTTGGTCAGAGTCTCAATCACAAAATCACTCTGTAGCACCACGTCTCCCTGGAAAACAAACCAAATGTCTTTCAGAGAGATTTTCGAATTCCCACAAGGTACAAATCTGTTGGGAATCTGGCTGCTCATCACTGGACTGAGCCACCAAACCCCAAATCCAGCATGTGCCTGGTCCCTCGCCCAAATTCCCTCCCCTCCCAAGCCCACAGCTAATAGAGCAGAGAAGCTACCTTCTGCTTGTTATCCTCCCGGACCACGTGGAGAACGAAGAGGCTGTCACTCAAGCTGCTGACGGACATTCCTGTTGAGACAAGAAAGGGCCATTTTGCTTGGCAAAGTGGGCTCACTCCAGGCACGGCCACCTTTCTCTTCTGTGGCAACACTGGCAGCTCCAGCCCTCTGGGCAGAACAGGCCCCCCTTGCCACCTACAGAGCTCCAAGCTAGGAAGCTCCGTCAGGGACCTGGGCAGGGGAGAGAGGCCCACAAACAGGCCCCACAATGCCAGCAGCCAGCCACGTTCTGGAAAGTGCATCTAAAATCTCAGAGGACAACAAATTTCTCTGAGTTGGCCGCATGCATGTTTGGATTTGGATTTGATATCCCGCCTTTCACTCCCTTTAAGGAGTCTCAAAGCGGCTAACATTCTCCTTTCCCTTCCTCCCCCACAACAAACACTCTGTGGGGTGAGTGGGGCTGAGAGACTTCAAAGAAGTGTGACTGGCCCAAGGTCACCCGCAGCTGCATGTGGAGGAGCAGGGAAGCGAACCCGGTTCACCAGATTACGAGTCCACCGCTCTTAACCACTATACCACACTGTGTCACAAACAACAGCTCCCAACAATGGGGACCAGGCAACGCTTGCTCCAAAAGCAGCTTCTCTCCCCCCCCCCCAGCCTCCAGGCCAGCCAAGCGCTTGTTGGTCACCATCTCCGCACCTGACAGGTTGCCGTAGTCAATCCGCTGCTTGACCTTGGCCTCTTCAACCAGCAGAATTGCATTCTGGGTGAGCAGCAGCTGCCGGGGTCTGGCCTTGTAGCCTTTGCGGTCGTACTTGGTCACGGGAACGGCATACTGAAAGGAGCAGCGAGAATCCCAACAGCAAATTTCCACAGTGCCTGAAGCAGCCTCCAGACAAGAGGCTATGGGGGGCAGCAGGGAAGAGCGGCAACTTCCATCCCAGCCAGCCCTTCTGGGCCGGCTCGGCCTCCTTGCGCCCTTCCTTCAGAGCCCCTGAGCCGCGGCCAGAGAGCCTCCGGAGCCCTTAAAAAGGATCCCCCGCGAGTAGGGGGGCGCTCCAGGTGCCCTGCCGAACCCCCACGTTCCCGGGCTTCCTCCACCTGAGATTTCTGACGGGTCCCCGCCTTCGCCGTGGCGGGCGACCCAGTTTTCATGGAGCTAGTTCCTCCGCTTAGAGGAGCTCCGCCATTAGCCGCTGGCGCTGTCCCCGGAAGTTCCGGCCAGCCCTTCTGGGCCGGCTCGGCCTCCCTGCGCCCTTCCTTCAGAGCCCCTGAGCCGCGGCCAAAGAGCTTCCGTGGCTCACTTACCTTGAGTGTCTCATTTCCCAGCACTTGAAGGATTTTGGCATTAATCTCTTCGCTACCTGCCGCAAAAAGGAAAGAAGGGGGGCAGTTGGAAGCAGCTAGCTGGAGAGGGCAGCCCCACCCCTGGCCAGCCTGAGAAGCCCCACTCACCAAGGCGGGTGTTAAGGAAGAGGCGAGGGACGCTCTGAGGATAGTTGTCCTTCTTCCCCTTGAAGATCTCGCTGGCCACCACTTTCTGCTCCAGCTGCGGGAGAGACAGGCGGAGTCACAGCGCTCCCCAGGGAAAGGAGGAGCCACTGGGAAGCTGCTCCCAGAGAGCCCTTCTCCTTGGGGTGGGACAGGCAGGGAAGGAGCCCCAGCGCTACCCACCTGCAGCTTCCACTCAGGGCTGATTCTCTTGCAGTAGCTCCACACCATGTTCTGCATGCAGAGGTCTCTCAGCAGCTGAGATGCCTGAAGAACAAGGAGGAAAGGCAGCTGCCAGATGGAAAGGGAGACCACAAGGGGCAGCAGGAGGGCAAAGACACCCCCCCGTCACACCATACGAGGAAGGAGGAGCAGCTTTTAAGCTCTCAGGACCTACGCAGACACCAGCTCACAGATTTAACTGGCCCCAAGCTGGGAGGGCCCCCTCTGGACATTTGCACAGGGTTCAGGGCAGCCTTGCGGCCTGAATAGGAGGTGGTGGCAATGGCACAACTTCAAACTTAAAGGTTTCCTTAGATAAAAGCTCCCTGCCAAGAGGACCATCTCTTCCTCCTCCTCCTGAGCCAGATATTTTGAGGTCAGAGCAGGAGCTTTCTCCCCGCTTCATGCTTTTGCCTGCCTGAATAACACTTTGGGAATGAAAGCAGGCCTCCACCTCTTGAAGAGATGGGCCTGGCACTTGTGGGGTCTCCAGCTCCTTGTACATCACATCTGAGGGAGGGAGAGAGAGGAGGGAGGGGCGGTGTCTGGCACCAGGTCAAAGGCGTCAAGAATCTTCCCTCTCCTCTCCCTGCCAAATGTCCCACAATTCCCATGCTGGGTTGCAGAGTCTGTTTTGCTGACTCCCTTTGGAACATTAACAACAACAACACAACATTTATAAACTGCTTAATATTTGAAAATCTCTTCGGACTGCAAGGAGGGGGAAGCACTATCACAATGATCCGGGTTTGTTCATTCGAAAGCAGAGCATCTCATTCAGCCAGGAGATGGTGGCCTAGACACTCTTTTGCTGTCACCCACAACTGCTGATGGACAAAGGACGTGGGACATGCAGGCCCCTGCTTGGATCCAGGCCCGGGACAGCAGCAGGAGGAGGAGCTCCTTGGGCGAGGCAGGGCTCCCACCCACCCCACCCCACTGCACTGCCCCTGGAGCTACCTCTCTCAGGGAGGGCGGAGGCACCGGCCAGGACTTGTCCAGAACATTCCGGGGCAGGTTCCGCTTCAAGTTCATCAGGAAGGAATAGCGGATGTAGTCAAGGAAGTATTCGTTCTCGGGGCAGCGAGCATAATTCCGGTAAATAAACCCCTTGATGAACCTGCAGGGAGATCCAGGGAAAGGCTTCTTAGGAGAGCAGAGTGGCACTAACCCTCCCCCAACAGCCCCCACCTCCCCTCACAAGCCCTGCAAGGGGCAGGGTGCGCCCGCCCCCCCCCCCGGCCCAGGGAAGGGAAAAGGGAGCCCAGACGCACCGCCGGACGGTCTCCACGGCCCGCTTCTTCTTGGCTGCCTTGCGCCGCCCCAGTGTCCCTCGCCACCAGGACTGGATAGTGATGGCTGGAGGGAGCAAAGAGGGGGAGACGGGGGGTCAGGGGCACAGGACAGTGCTGGTGAGGGGGCAGGAATGGTGGAAGGAGCCTGGAGAAGGGCGGCCTGGGAGCCTGGCACAGAGGCGGCCACTCCTTCTCCCCTGCTCCAGAGGGCACCACCTGCAAGGGTGTGGCTGGTTCTGGCCAAAGGGAGGGCAGACAAACTCCCTAAGAGCAAAGGCTCTTCAGTGGGAGAAGAGGCTGCCGCAGGAGGTGGCCAGGGGGGTCGTTGCCAGAGATGCAGGAGGCTACCCAACACTCTCTCTCTCTGGGCATTTTGCGATTCCCAACCTTCCCTCCTGAAATGTTGCTGGCCGGCCTTTGCTGGACCCGCAAGGGAGGTATCTGGGCTTCCTGAGGTGAATGAGATGAATCCCTGCTCCCTGGCCGTTCCAGATGCAGAAGCCAATGGGGCTGGGCCTGGACTCTTCAACACAGGCCAGTCATGGGCGGCAAAGCAGTGGGTGTGCCACCCTGTCCCTCCCTGCCTCTCGTGGCAGGAGCTGCCCTGAGGAAAGGCGCAGAAGCAGACCCACCGCCTGCCCCACCTGCAAATGGCTGCTGGAGCAAGCAGAGCACAGGGCCCAGAAACGCCCCTGGGAGGGAGGCCCTTGCCCTGCCCACCCCCCTGCTGGCCTCAGGGGCTGCTTGGAGCGCCAGCCCTGCTGCTTAACTGGGGCCACCTTGAGCAGGACTGCTCCTGCGATGGACGGGAAGGGAGGGTCTGTCCCTGGAGGAGAAGCCAAGAGCCGTCGCTGCTTCTTACCTGACAGCTTCATCTGCCGAAACTTCTTCCGCCGGTAGTAGCCTCTCCAGCCTGCCTGGAGCTTTGTGGCTGAAGCCAGGGAGGGAAGAGGCACATTGAGCACAGAGATGCCACCCCCCCGGGCAGCCTCAAAGGTTGCTGGGGCCCAGCACCCACCTTCCTTGACCCCCGGAGGGCCCCAGGCATTCCCTGCCCCCAGACTCCCCGATGGGCAAACTCACCCAGACTCTGCTTCCGGATCTCCAGGCTGTCTTCTGTCGCAAAGAGAGTCTTGGGGAAACGAATAAATATTTTTGTCCTGGAAAGGAAATTATCCGTAAGAGAGAGAGAACGTTGATCCCCCCACCCCCACCTGGGGCAGCACCCCAAGACTCCGCCCCCTACCTGCCCATCTTGAACTCCTCTTGCTTGTAGCCAAGGTATTTCACAAGCACAGCCACGCCGTCGTGGGGCCTCCCGTCCCAGGTGGGCCACGTGTCGGGACACAGAGACTTGTACCTGGCCAGGGAAGGGATGGTAGCCTGGTCACATGACCAAGGGAGCGCCAGGCAGAGCCCCAAAGCCCCCAGAAGCTGTATGAGGATCTTGCTGCCCTTCTCACAGCCACAGCCCCCCTCCCTTGGCGCAACATTGCAGGCAGAGCGACCACCCTTCATTTCGCCCCAGGAGCCACCTGCTCCCTCCGAAGCCGTTCCTGCGCTGTAATGTTCCTGCACAGGGTTTGCACACACACCTACCTCTGGAGGAAGACTTCGTATTTTCGCCGATAAGCAAAGCCAGCCCGACGCACTCTCAGGTTCTCCATCAAGCCCAAGTACTTCACCTGATGCCGGATCAAAACTTCATCAAAACGGCCTAGAAAATGATCAGAATGAAGGGGTAAAGGTAAAGGTAAAGGGACCCCTGACCATTAGGTCCAGTCGTGGCCGACTCTGGGGTTGCGGCGCTCATCTCACTTTATTGGCCGAGGGAGCCGGCGTACAGCTTCCGGGTCATGTGGCCAGCATGACTAAGCCGCTTCTGGCGAACCAGAGCAGCGCACGGAAACGCCGTTTACCTTCCTGCCAGAGTGGTACCTATTTATCTATTTGAACTTTGACGAGCTTTCAAACTGCTAGGTTGGCAGGAGCAGGGACTGAGCAACGGGAGCTCACCCCGTCGTGGGGAATCGAACCGCCGACCTTCTGATTGGCAAGTCCTAGGCTCTGTGGTTTAACCCACAGCGCCACCCGCGTCCCCAGAATGAAGGAGAGTAACCCGTAAAAAAGGGCAGTCGGGCCAACGCCCTGCCCAGCGCCTGGGTTGCCCTCTTGGTGTCCATGGAGCTATTCTTCCACAGTAGACAGTGCCCCCCCCTTCAAGAACGGGGCAGTGCAAGCCAGGCAGCATCAGAGGAGGCCTAGGCGGCAGCCAGAGCTTGTAAGTTGGGAGTTTTTGAGAAACGTCAGAGATGAGAAACCTGGAAAGAGGGGAATCCAGCCAAGGCTCAGAATGCCCCCAGACCCCCAGACCAGCACTCCCCGCCCTCTGGGAAGGAAGCGGGGACAGAGGCTGAGACCCACCCGCCTGCTTGGCGTCGTTGGGCTTGATGCAGCGGATGTAGGAGGGGTCCTTGGACATCAGGATTTCCATGAGCTTCGCGAGGCTGTTCTTGAACTGTGTCACTGCCTGCAATGGAGGAGAAGAGAGGAATGGAGCAGAGGGAAGGATCGCGGCCACCTGGCCTTGCAGCAGGACCACCACCCACCACCCTCCCACTCTCTTTCGGCTCTTACTGTCTCTGGCCTCTTCTTGTCCGTCAGCTCCGACCGGTCAAAGCACTGGTTGACAATGGGGTTCTCTGAGTTGCACATGGCCTGTGGGGGCAGCGAGAGGGAGTCAAAGTGGGCCTGGCTTAGCCCCAGGAGCCCTTTGCACGGACAGGCACCTTCCTGCCCAGGGCACAGGCCCACTTCCAGCCGGGACTCACCTCTTTGAGGTTCCTGAAGAGGAGGTCGTTGTTCTTGTCCAGGAAACCTGGGGAAGGAAGCACAAAACCAGTGGCATAAAAGACCCCGCCAGGAGGAGCTGGAGGGAGGGTTTCCTCCTGAAACAGCGTCTGTATGGGAAGGGGGGCACAGGCACAGACGCCCCTCGCTGCCCAGCACCGCTGCCTGGAGACGACCGCCATCTACCTGCCACGTTGTAGGTGACGTCCCCGGCGTAGTGCTGCAGGCGGAACTCCTCTCGGCCCAAGGACTTCCGGGTCTTGGCATCTGCCAGCTTGTGTCTGTGGAGAGGGAAACCCCATTAATAATAATAATAATAATAATAATAATAATAATAATAATAATAATAATAATTTATTTATATCCTGCCCTCCCCAGCCGAAGCCGGGCTCAGGGCGGCTAACAACAATAAAATAGTACAACATTCTAAAATCATTCATTATAAAATTAATTCAAATCAAATTGATGGCAACCATTGGGCTAGAGTTCTGTGAAGATTGCCAAAGGAGGGAGTCAGGCTGTGCCCTGGCCAAAGGCCTGGTGTAACAGCTCTGTCTTGCAGGCCCTGCGGAAAGATGTCAAGTCCTGCAGGGCCCTGGTCTCTTGTGACAGAGTGTTCCACCAGATCGGAGCCACAGCCGAAAAAGCCCTGGCTCTAGTTGAGGCCAGCCTAACCTCTCTGTGGCCTGGGACCTTCAAGATGTTTTTATTTGAAGACCGTAAGTTTCTCTGTGGGGCATACCAGGAGAGGCGGTCCCGTAGGTACGAGGGTCCTAGGCCGTATAGGGCTTTAAAGGTTAAAACCAGCACCTTGAACCTGATCCTGTACTCCACCGGGAGCCAGTGCAGCTGGTATAGCACCGGGTGAATGTAATCTTGCAGTAAGGACCCCGCAAGGAGTCTCGCCGCAGCATTCTGCACCCGCTGGAGTTTCTGGGTCAGTCTCAAGGGTAGCCCCACATAGAGCGAGTTACAATAATCCAGAATGGGCAGAAGATGGGAGGGAGGGAGCCAGAACCAGTGGCTCAGGGTCCCAGAGGACAAGGTTGAGCTGGAGGGGATTGGGTCCCTGTAGCAGGAGCAGATTGGTTGCTTCTGTTCTCAAAAGAAGCTGCTGAAACCAAAGTGGAGCCTCCAGTCCTGGGCTGAAGATGGAGGGGCTCCTCCGGCCCCCAAGGTGACTCACGTGAGGAAGTGGGGGTGGTTCTTTATTGTCTCCTCCAGTTTCACCAGGAAGGTCGTGTCGGTGGCGTCTCCAGGCCGCAGGCACTCCTCATCCTGCAGGGCGGAAATGGAAGGACTTGGGGGTCTAGCAGGCAACACCACCCTCCTCCTCCCCCCAAGACCATCACTGGAGCCTTTCAGAGCAGATGGAAGCCTCCAGAGGATCGGGGGGGGGGCTTGCAGGTGTCCCCAGGAGTCTGCCCGCTGACCAACTTGGCTAATGGGCCCAAAGGAGGGAGCAGAGCAGTGGGGGTGGGGGCCCAGGAGGGCATTTCCTGTGCTGTGGGGCTCCCTCCCAACAGAGGGGCCTCTCTTGTGAAGCTGCAGACAGACAATGTATGTTTTCAGAACCTTCCCTATTCCTTTGACGGTAAATTTTTTCCACCGATTAAAATCTTGCCTTTTTGCAGCCCTGGGACCTTTGGGGAAGGACGGGACAGAAATGCTATTCCACCCCCCAACAACAACAACAGCAGCAGCAGCAATAATAATAATAATAATAATAATAATAATAATAATAATAACAACAATTCTTTTATTTATACTGCAAGCATCTGTCTAGGTTTCCCCAGCCACCCTGGGCAGCTCACAGCATATATAAAAACATACTAAAACATCAAACGTTAAAAGCTTCCCTCTGCAAAGCTGCCTTCAGATGTCTTCTAAAAGTCAGATAGTTGTTTATTTCCTTAACATCTGAAGGGAGGGTTTCCACAGGGAGGGAGCCACTACCGAGAAGGCCCTCTGCCCACAATCTTCTCACACGTCCTTGAGGACTTACCAAGACTGAAATGATGCCTTTGAATTTCTCTTCCACTAAGTCACAGATGATCTTGTTGTTGAAGTACTGGACAGGTTCCCACTGCAAAAAGGAAGCGAGAGAGTCTGAGGGAAATAGGCCCCGCTCGGGAGGAGAGGCGCATGGGGGAGCAGCTGGAGGCACCAGCCGGCTGGGCTCCCCCTTTGGCCTTAGGGGGCCCAAGGGGAAGCCCCTCACTGCCAAGAGTCAGGCATTAAGGCCTCAACTCCTTGCCCTTCAAAGGAGAAGTGACGGCTGCCACGTTCTTAGGCACCTCTCGTTCAACAGAAACGTGGCCAGTAATCCAAAGGGCAAGGGCTCGGCAGAGGCCGGCTGGCCAAAGGGCTGACTCTATTTTCAGCCTCCTCAGGTGTAAATGGCAGCCCCTCCCTTGCTGGGAGAGCAGAGGAGCCCCCCCCCATCACCACTCCCTGCTCTTACCGCAATTCCCTCAGCCTCGTATTCCTCCTGCTCCGACTTCAGCGTGAGCTCGATGAAGAGCTGCTGCAACTTTTCGTTGCAGTAATTGATGCAGAACTGCTCAAAGCTGCAAAGGAGGGGAGGCAGAAAAGAGCTCTTGGCCCCAGCAGAGACTCTGACCCCCCTCCCCCTCCAAGCAACCACTTTCACTGAAGGGGGGGCCACAGTCATGGGTGGCAGAGCGAGACCCTCCTCCCTTCTGGGGCTGGTTCTTCTCACAGCCATGCTGGCCTGCAGCAACCGGAGATGCCGCGTTTCAGTGGCACAGCACAAGGTCAGAGACAAACCCTGGAGGAGAGCAGCCTGAGGCCAGCCCTGTGCCAGGCAGCCCCTCCTCTTCCTCCACCTGGGCAGGAGCCAGGAAAACCCACCTGTTGTGCTGGAAAACCTCGAAGCCGTAGATGTCGAGCAGACCCAGGACGGAGGCGCTGCTTCTCCAGCCCAGGCGCTCCGTCTCCTGCCAAAAGGCACAGGGGAGTGAGAGGCCCCCTGGGAACGGCACCCTCCCCTGGCCCCCCTGCCCTGCCTGCCTGGAAAACCGGGACTTTGCTCCTGTCCCAGCAAAGCCACCCTTGCAGGAGGAGGCCTGCTCCTTGTGGGCCCCTTTTCCGAAGCAAGGCCTCCTCCACGGAGGGTGCCGCCCAGGACCCAGCGGCCGTCAGGGGGAGAAGAGCCTGCTGACCTTGTAGGCGAGAGACTTGTTGATCTTGCCCACGAGCCACGAGAAGGTGCGCCCATAGATGGCCTTGGCGAGGGCGTCCCGTGCGTAAGCCGCCTGCTCCAGGTTGAGGGGGCTGACCAGCTGCAAGGAAGGAGCTGCCGTCAGCCTCTCTCCGGCCAGCGGACTCGGGAGGGAGGGCAACCAGGTACCCGAACCACCTCCCTTGGAGATGGCCACAGTGACCATCACCTGGAAACGCCCCTGGGTTGGCCTGGCCGCCACCCCCCCCCCCACGGCAGTCAGCCGGCCAACCCTCTTACCTCTTCCCCCTTGGCGATGATCTTCTTGTGGGTCAGAGCCTCTCGGAGCAAAGACCCTTCAACCCCCAGGAGCTGCAAGGCAGAAAAAGGAGAGCCACGGCTGAAGAGCCACCGCCAGAGCAGCCTCTGCCCACAGCAGAGGAAAAGGATCCTTCTCAGCCCTGAGAGGAGGAGGAAGGCAGAGACCCAAACTGGGGGAGGAGTGATGGGTGCAATGCAGCCGGGAGAGAAGAGAAGGTGCCACCTGCCCCAGCCCTGCTTAGCATCAGAGAAAGGGTGTCATTCTTTCTCCTCACTTTAGAGGAGAGTGGAAGTCTGGAGGGTGGTTTGGCCTCCTCTCTTCCAGCAGCTGTGACTAATCCTCACCCCCAAAACATACTGAAGGCCTTATTCACACTTTTCAAGTACTCCCAAGTCATTTCCTCTGGCATTCCGTCTTCTGACTCCAAGAGCTGCAGGAATAAAACTGTGGCCTGCCTTCATATTCACTGGACGTTGATTTCCCCAATGTTACTTGGCCATCTCTCAGACTCATTCATTTCTTTGATCCCTTCTAGAATATAAGCCTTTCTCTAGCCTTTATGACACACACGTCCCCCCCTAAAAAACAGCCTCCAAGTGATGCAGCTCAGGCCCATTTCCGAAGGTACCTGGGAGCCTTTCGCTCCTCTCCCTGCCCCACTCCCACTGCCCCCTCCCTGCCAGCTCTGCTACTCACCCTGGCCAGGTACTTGATCTGGTTCTCTGTGGTCACTTGTGCGCTGCCCTCTTCGTCGGCAGCAAACTGCACATTGCCCAAGTGCAAGACGCTGGCCACAATGCTCAGGAGGTCCTGGGAAGGGAAGAGGGGAGGGCCAGGGAGGGTCACTAGCAGAAGAGCACCACAGAAGGGGGCGCAGGACCAGCCCCCTCCCTCCCAAACACGGGGAGGCAGCAGCGGCAGCCGCAGGAGCCAAAGGGGCCTCTTACCTCCACTTCGTTGTCGCTGAAGTTAATGACGGACAGGGCCCTGCGCACGCCCTTCCAGTCGCTCTTGTCGTTGATGGAGCTGACTTTTGCACACTGGCCCTGGCAAGACAGATGGGGAATGTGGGGAGGAGACCCTCAGCAGTGGAGAGGGGGGATGCAGTGGCTGCCCCCAAAATGGACAGGCAGCAGGCAGGCAGGCTGGCGGTCCTCAGCTACAGCTCAGCCCCACTGCAGGCCCCAGAAAAGCTTGTGCTGGGGGTGTGCAGCGCTTTACCTTCACCAGGTACTGGTACTGGTGAGGGCTCTTCTCCAGGCCCAGCCTCCGCAGCAGGTCCTCCTCGCCCCCTTCCAGCAGCTGGTAGAAGATGTGGAAGTTCCTCTCGCCGTGGTTCTGGTGCACCACCCGTGACTTCTCAAGGAGGTAGTTCAGGATGTGGCCCCCAATGGGAGCCCCCTAAGGCAAAGAAGGCAGCAGCTGTGGCTGGCGAGGGCAGAAAGGGAGCCAACTGCTCAGGACCCTTTTGGAGAGGGGCAGAGGGAGCCCGGAGCCAAGCAAGAAGGCTGCTGCTAGAGCTCTCAGGGCTTCCCCACCAAGCGTCTGCAGACCGTCCACCAGGGGTCAGCCCTGCATGCAGAGCCGCCTTTCCACAGTGGGGGGGGGGGGGGAGCGCCCTGCTGCTGGAGCTCTGTCCTCCTCCTCATCTCAGAAACCGGAGCCCACCCCTTCCGGGACAGGCTGGTCTTTCCTCTCCAAAGAGAGATGCTCAGAGAAGCTCACATGCATTTTCCACAGGGGACATGATGAAAAGCTTTGGGGGTTGGGGGAAACCTGGCTCCACATGAGGACAGGGGCTCCCCCTGCTCCTCCACAGCTCAGAAGATGGGGCTTTTCAGTGGCCCAGTGCGCACATTGCAATGCAGAAGGGTCCAGTTTCAGCCCCGGACATCACCAGGCAAGGTGGGGAGAGCAAGACGGACCAGGAGGCTAACTCGGTTTGCCCTCCTACAGACTCACCTTATAATCGAACTGGACGTCCATGTATTTCCCAAAGCGGCTGGAGTTGTCGTTGCGAAGGGTCTTGGCGTTTCCAAACGCCTGTAGAGGAAGAAGAGGACAACTGATCTCCAGACGTGGGGAGAGGACTCTGGCTCAGGCACAGCCCCTCAGACTCCAGGCCTTGCCTGGCTTGACTTTCTAGCCTGGCCCCCAGCTGGCCTCGACTTGGACCCAAGTGCTGACCACTGCAGGGCCTCTCCTGCCTCAGCACAGGCATCCTGGGCCAGGGGCTGGCATATGGGCTCCCTTGGTTGTTGGCACCCAGCAGAGCAAACCAGGCCACAAAGATGGGGCAGGTCCACTGGGGAGGAGCAGCTGTGCTGTGTTATGTCCAGCTCTCTTCCAGGCCCAAAAGCCACAGAGGGGAAGGAGCAGACGCAGCCCGGGCACCTTCTGAACTGGGCCTCGTGCTCTTACCTCCAGGACTGGGTTGGACTGCAGGAGCCGGTCCTTGATGGTCTCCACCTGCTCGCTGGCTGGGCAGGTGACGGCGTAGTACTGCAGCACCTTCTTGGTGGCTTCCGTCTTGCCAGCCCCGCTTTCCCCCGAGATGAGGATGCACTGGTCCTTCCTCTCCGTGCGCAGAGAGCGGTAGGCATTGTCTGCAATGGCGTAGCTGAGGAGGGAAGCAAAGGGCCACAGTCGTCACCACCCGGCCAGCGCCACCATCCGGCGCTCCCGGGGCCTGCAGGGGGTGGGGGAAGGAGGCCTGCCAAGGGGGTGTCTGTGCCAGAGTTTTGCTTCTACTTCTTCTCTCTTCACCCGCCTGTGCCTTAAAGAGCTTCTGCTGAGGCTCTTTCTACAGGCATCTTCCTCCTTTATTCCAAAATGTCTGCCGTAAACCCAGTATGCATTGCCATTAAAACAAAATGTAAAACAAGTGTAAAAGCTGGGACTGAGACTGATATAACAACAACAACAACAACAACAATAATAATTTATTATTTGTACCCCGCCCATCTGGCTGGGTTTCCCCAGCCACTCTGGGCGGCTTCCATAGAAACCAAAAAACACTAAAATGTCATCCATTAAAAACTTCCCTGAACAGGGCTGCCTTAAGATGTCTTCTGAATGTCAGGTAGTTGTTTATCGTTTTGACATCTGATGGGAGGGCGTTCCACAGGGCGGGCGCCACCACTGAGAAGGCCCTCTGCCTGGTTCCCTGTAGCTTTGCTTCTCGCAATGAGAGAACCGCTAGAAGGCCCTCGGCGTTGGACTTCAGCGTCCGGGCAGAACGATGGGGGTGGAGGCGCTCCTTCAGGTCTACTGGGCCGAGGCCGTTTAGGGCTTTAAAGGTCAACACCAGCACTTTGAATTGTGTTCAGAAACGTACTGGGAGCCAATGTAGGTCTTTCAAGACCGGTGTTATGTGGTCTCGGCGGCCGCCCCCAGTCACCAGTCTAGCTGCCGCATTTTGGTTTAGTTGTAGTTTCCGAGTCACCTTCAAAGGTAGCCCCACGTAGAGCGCATTGCAGTAGTCCAAGCGGGAGATAACTAGAGCATGCACCACTCTGGTGAGACAGTACGTGGGCAGGTAGGGTCTCAGCCTGCGTACCAGGTGGAGTTGGTAGACAGCTGCCCTGGATACAGAATTGACCTGTGCCTCCATGGACAGCTGTGAGTCCAAAATGACTCTGAGGCTGCGCACCTGGTCCTTCAGGGGCACAGTTACCCTATTCAGGACCAGGGAGTCCTCCACACCAGCCCGCCCCCTGTCCTCCAAAAACAGTACTTCTGTCTTGTCAGGATTCAACTTCAATCCAACTTCAATATTGACAACTACAGGGTCGGATCCCATCTGGCCAGGGAAAGGCTGTGGCAGCATCTGATTCCCGTGATGCAGCCACGAAGGGCTGTTTGGCTGTGGCGCCCCAGCTGGGGAAGGACGCCCCCAAAGAGCCTTGCCCAGGGCCCACAGGGCAAATGTTTTGGCACGAAGGGAGGCACTTTCCACTGCTACAAATACTCATCGACGTTTCAAGGATTTTGTCTGCTGGGTCATAATTGAGAATTTGTACCTTTTCGCTGTACGCTGCCCTGAAATCCCAATATGGTTTTGGGTGGTATACGGAGAGCAAACTATTTTAATAAATAAATAAAATTTGACAGGGTTTGGGAGAGAATAAATCCCGAATTGAGTATTCTTGTCCACTCCCTCCCTTCTTTGCTTTCCCTCCTCTCAAGGAGGCTGATGCTTGTGATCAAGAGCCTTGCAGATCCAACAAGTGGGAAGGTGGGAGGCAGCCTGTCCATCTAAAAGACAGAGCTCCGCCCACTCAGCATTTCCCTTGGGCCAAATCCCAGGGAACATGAGTAGGGGGGCAGAATGTGACCTGGGATATCCCCTCCTCCCCTCTCTTCCTCCCTCCCCTCTCCCAAAGCAAAGGCACTCCCTGGATTTTGTACACACACACACCCTGCAAGCAGGGCGGCCGGGTGTTTCGCACACGAAGGGCTCTTTTGTCTTACGAACCCTCCAAAATTGTGCTCAGAATCAGCGCTCCGTTCTCTAAATGAGGAGTGTTCACCCAGCTATGCAAACAAAGATACTCTGGCGGGTTCCTGGTCTCTTAGCAACGTGGGAAATGTTGGGCAGAGGGAGCAGGAAAAATCCCACCCTCTGCCCTCTCGTGCACATGCACACACACAGATTTTCCTATCCTTTGGGTGTGGCTGGTGGCCTGCGGCTCCAGAGGCCCAGGACAAGCAAGGGGGGGAGGGGGGCTGGCTTGACCCCTGGCGTTACCCACAGGTGAGGAGAGACCTCGTAGAAGCTGACGCCCCGGTAGCGCTCCATGTGCTGCTTGCTGTAGATCTCCAGGTCCTTGTAGGGATTGACGGAGACCAGGACGGAGCCGATGTACGTCTGCAGAGCGAGGGAGGGAGGGGAGGTCAGGAGGAACAGGGAGAGGGAGAGAGCAGCCTCTGGGACACCTGGCGATCCCTCATAGTGACGCTCTTCTTCTTTGCCTTGAAATCTTCCTCCAAGAAATGTTTCCTGCATCCCTCAAACAACTTTGCTTTCAGCTTAGGAGGGGAGGCTTTCTCAGGGGGTTATTACTGGATGCCATGAGAAACTGGGGGTGGGGGCAGAATGGTTTGCCTCCCTCAAGGTTTGCCTGCGGGGCTGAGAGCAGCTGCACCTCAGGCCCCACCCCAGCCTGCCCTCCTGGACCCTCTGCTCCAGAACATGCAGTGGGACCGCCCAGCACCCAAAGAGAGGGGCTCTGCGGGGCCACGGCTCCTGTCAGGCAGAGCCCCACAGGGAAAGAGGGAGCTGCTGGATGGAGGGGGCTGCCCCACCCGCTCCACTCACGTAGATGAGGTTCTCCTTGAACCGCTTGCGCAGATTCTCGATGAAAGCCGCTTCGCTGGTGAAGTTCTCCAGCAGGACAAAGTCCTGGACTCCCACGCGGTCGCGAGCCGTCAGGGCGCTCTCCATGGCTGTGAGCCGGACCCCGTCACTGCCGACAGGCTGCAAGGAGCAACAAGAGGGGAGGTTGAGCCAGGCGGCCAGAGGTGGAGAGGGAGGGAAGCCTCGCTGTGCCTGGGCTGGCTGTCAAGGAAGGGCCAAAGGACGGACGCCAGAGAGAGGGCTGGCAGGGCTCAGGGAGAGGCATGTCCACAACAAGGAGGGGACAGAAGTCCCCGACCCACCGGCAGAAGTCCACACGCCCCACTCCAGCCCAGCCAACGCCCCTCAGCTGGTTCACTACCAAAGTTTTGACATCTCCTAGAGTAAAGGAGTCCAGGTCTCAGAAGCCACATCAGGATCCTTCCCAGGAAGGCTGCGAGGCAGAAGAGAGCGGCTTTTCCCAACCCCAACACACACACACGCTCCACTGGCATCCCCTCCAGGCCTCCAGGTCCTGCCCTCGGCCAGCAACACCCTGCGCACGCCTTGGGGGCTCACCACATGGTTGGCCAAGTGGAAGCCCATGGGGATGAGAGACCTCTTCTGCTGGATCTGGGCCAACAAGCCCTCGACGTTCATGGCTGGCGCGAGAGGGAACACAGCGTCCCCACGTCCTTCGCTTGCTGGGAGTGGAGCAGAGTGAGCCTGCCGGCCTCTCCCCAGCACTGCGCAGAGCCCCCCCCCCATGGAGGAAACTTTCCATGCCAACAGGAACATTTCCTCCCCTAGCAAATCCCCGGGAGAAAGGAGGCGCACCTGCGCTCCTCAAGCAGCACCCTCTTCGCCTCTCCCTGCCACTCTCCCTGCTCAAGCCCCGCAGGGAGCCTTTGGGGGTTGGCTACTGGGAGGGGCTCTTCCAAGGGGGGAAGACCTGGAGTTTGGGGGGCAGAGTGGGGAGAGAAAGGCGGGTGCCTCAGAGACAGCTGAGCATCTCTCTCTCTCTCTCTTTCCTCCCCATGCCTGCAGGGGCTCCTGGCACTAGCCAGCCCCACCCCACTGGCCCCCTCAGCACCAGCAGCAAAGGGAGCCCAGAGGTCTTCCTCCAAACACTGGCTGACCAAGGAGGGGCAAGCAGCAGCAAGAGGTCACATCCAAGCCGGACACAGAGACCTCTGAGTGAAGGACACCGACCCGCCCCGGTCTCCCCAGGTGCCACAGGTACAGTTGGGGGACAAAGTGGTGGCTCTGTGGGGGAGGAGTGTCAAACGGCCCCTTGAATCTGGGTCACGGTCACCACAACAGAACGTCTGCTCGCCAGGGGTTGGACTAGATGACCCCCAGGGTCCCTCCCAGCGCTACAATTCTACGATCCTATGATCTCAACTGCCCTGCCTGATTGTACTTGCTCTTACAACACTTCACTAATCCCAGCATGCAAGGAGGAGAAACAGACACAGGGGGAACTATGGATTGAGGCAGAGGTTTTTAAAGTGTGGTTGCCAACCTGGCGCCCAGAAATCTAAACACAATCGCAATTGGACCTGCGTCAGTAGCAAAACGTGCCTGGGGAATTTTGGACACTGGAGGAGAGGGCAGTGGGGGAGGTGGGAGGGGACTCACCCCAAAACAAGGGAGACAAGGCCACAGTGATGCCCACCCCGTGGGAGGGTGGAAGGAGGGGGAGAAGGGGAGAAGCAGGACCCTCATGGGACCCTCACCCCCACACAAATCCTGAAGGCTCCTCCCTGGCAGGCAGCCCCCTTGGCCAGCCAGATCAGCTGATGGGCCTGTCTGGGACCAGCCAGCAATGCTCTCCACTGGCTGGCTGCCTTCCCTGGGAGGAGGAGGTGGAGGCAAAGGCCCCAGGGCTGGCTGGGAGTGGGCAGCCTCCCCTTCCTCCGGGACACGTGGCTGGCATGGCTGCAGGTGCAGCTTGTCTGCAGACGGGACTCAACCTCTGAGGGTCCTGAGCCTCTGTCCACCGGAAGGAAGTGCAAGATAGGGGAAGCAGAAGGCAGGCAGGGTGGTTTTTTGACTGCCTGGTGATGCAGGCAGTCAAATTCTGGTGCAATTCTGGTGCTAAACATGATGCAGACGTGTTCACTGTTTACCCCCCCTCCTCCCTCCCTCCCTCTCTCTCTCTCTCTCTCTCTCTCTCACACACACACACACACACACACATTTTGTGCCAGGATCTTACATGCCTTTCTTGCCTCTTGGATTGGGTAAAAGCAAATAAACGTAACGTTTAAAAATAGTACCGTTAGGCGTCTTTCTGAAGCAAACAAGTGTAAATTCTGCAGTATTTATTCAAACAAGTATTATAAACATTCCCATCATCGGAGGCAGAGCTGTGAGGCCCAAAGGGCACCCAAAGGCACATTGTTTTGTTGGGGTGGGGTGGAGAGATATGGGGGGGGAGGGAAGGAAGGAAGGAAGGAAGGAAGGAAGGCCTTTTGAACACACAACCTGGGTTTCCCTTTGCAAAGTAGAAGGAACTTGGGCATATAGAGAAGAAGTTCAGGCTGCTGCAGCCTCAGGAATTTCCCTCCCTGTCTCTGCTGGACCACAAGCAGTGATGCCGGGCAGAGGAGAGCTTGCCTGCTCCCCAGCAGCGACCCCCTTCCACACCCCATAGAAAGGGGTCCTGCTTTCCACCAGCCCCAGAGGCAATTTCCTCCAGAGGCACAATTGACAACAGAGATGGAGGAGGCTGAGCCCCTCCCCATACTCCAGAAGACCCTCACCCCCTTCAGAGGATAGGCTGGCCAGCTCCACTGCTCCAGTCAAACCATTCGCTGGCCTTTGGAAATCTCTACAGGGCCCCTCCCTCACCCAGACAGATGCAGGCACCCCCTCCTCAGCTGCCAGGAGTTTCACGGGGCGTGGCAATGGCACCATTGCCCCAGGGGGTCCCCGCCCTGGCTGGCAAAGAGGCCCCACGTCACTCTTGCCTGGCTGGGGCAGCCTAGCACCCAGGCCAGGGGTCAAGAGGACCCGTGGGCAGCCAGGGAGCCCTTCCAAGGTGCCTGGGCCACCCTGCTCCCTCCCTCCCTGCTTGTTGCTCTGGCCGTCCACTAGGCAAAGCTCCCCTTCCGACTGCAAGACTGAGCATGTCTCACGAGTCGACTTCCTCCTGGCGCGCAAGCCCAGGCCGAGAGCAAGAAGAGGAAAGGCAGCAGCAAGGTTTCTCCAGGCCAGCTTCCCCATTGACTGGCGAGCGCTTCTGCTCCCAACGTCCCTTGTCTTGCTGCCCTGCCCCTCGGGCTGGGACTTAGGAGGGGCGCTGTGGGTGTCGCTCAGCTGCTCCCCTGCCTGGCTCAGCCCCCCAAAGGCACCTGAAGGTAAGAGGCCCCAGTGCCCCCAGAGGGTCCTCCTTCAACACCCTTCGGAAGGCTTTTCCGACTGTTTAATGGATTCACAATACCCCCCCCCACTTGCAAGACACACAGAGGAAGGAGACAGGGCACCCCAGAACCGTCCCAGGGGCTGCAGCTGAACAAATGGCTCAGGCCTGTTTGTAAGGGCAGGGCTAGCTTCCTTGGAGGTAGGCTGTGTCTGGGGAGACTCAGGGGCCGGCCAGCCCTGACAAGGCTCCTATGATAAGGGGAACTGAAGGAGGAACATTGCCTGAGGCAGAGTCCATGGCCCAGGATAGAGAGGGGGGGTCCCCTGAGGCTCCCCCTCCACGCCAGTACACCCAGGCACATCAGGCCTAGCTTTCCTGGGTCACTGCAGGACTGGGGGGACGACGACTCCAGACCCTCACGGCTTGTGGGCTCCCCTCCCCATGTCCTGATCCGGCCAATAAATAGGCTCCCTCCCCACACCAGATCCAGGAGCCCCACAGAGAAAACCACCTGAGCTTTGTGGCCACATTGACCCCCCCACCTCCTCCCAAGTCCAGGTCTGCCCCTGCAGGACAGGGCCACAGGGAGGGGCATCGGCCGGAGGCCAGGATCAACCCCCAGGAGACCCATGGAGGAATTTCCTGCCCCTCCTCGCCCTCTCCCCACCGCAGAAGAGCCTTACCACAGCCCTGAACTTCATGGCTGCCCCTCGCCAGAGTCACAGGCCTCGCGTCTCAAAGCAGGGATCCAAAGGATGTTGCCTCTACTCTCTGCCGCCTCTCTCCTCCCGGCAGCATCGCCCTGGGCCCTCCAGAAGGCCTTCCCTCATCGCCAGCAGCAGCAGTAGCCACCGCTGCCGCAGGAGCCCCCCTCCTGGATCCACGGTGAGCAATGGGCAGCAGAGGCAGGCGGGCAGGCAAGTGGGCACACCCTAAATCACAAGCTGCAGCAAAAGCCTCTGCTGGCTGCCTTGGATGAATAGTTCCCTCTCAGCAGGCAAGAGGGAGAGAAAAGGAATCCAAGTGGCTGGGAAAGTTGGGCCCCAGCCCAGCACTCCTCATAAAAAGCCACAAGGAGGGGGGGAGGGGAGGGAGGATGGCGGGCCCAGCCTGGCTCCCAGAGGAGGACGCCAATGGGGAGATGCCCAGCCAAGGTAGCCCAGGAGGGAGGAGCAGGCGGCCACATCCACGGGGCAGTGTGAGAAACGCAAATATATAAGCTAGGGGCTAATGGCACCTTGAATTCTGGGCACCCAGAAGTCTCCACACAGTCGCAAACTGGAGCAAAAGGTGCCTGGCGCATTTTGAAGACTTCCGTGAGGAAACCCACCGAAAGGCAACGGCTGACCCTTTGCCGCCTTCTTTCCCCAAAGTCCACAATGTCCTGCACACACTTTCCTACACTTTGGCCCTCTGGGCAACAACACCCTGTGAGCATCACACACTCACAAAGCACGAGAGGCTGGGGGAGACCTGGGGCCCACCCTGCCAACAGGAATTTGCATGGGGGCTTCCAGATGGGGAGCTGTGCTGGCTCTTCTCCTGCACCGTCACACGGCCCAACCTCCTCTGGATCTCCACATGGCCAAGCCTCTGGGAAACGGGGGGGGGGGGGGGCAAGGGCAGCAAAGGCAACTGAGGGGGTCTTCTTCGGCAGTCTCTTCTTTGCCCGGGGGGACGGTGACGGACAGCTGCATGGGTCCCCTTGGCCGTGGTCGGATCCCGGTCTTCCTGGCCAGACTTGCACTACTCAGTTGATAAGCACCTGTTTCCCAGCAGGCCTGGAAGGGGCCAGGTGGAATCTCTCCCTGGGCTGGGCGAGGCTCTGCCAGCTGCACCACCAGCCAAGCGTCTCATGTTGCAGGCCACAAAGGGCAGGATTCAGAAGGGGCAGAAGGGCCTTGGGGTCCTTGTCTGTCTGTCCCGACTCAGGATTGCCACGCTCACACCTGAGAGATCAATCGATCAACTGCTTTGCCAGGATAAGCCCTTTGTATCCTGACCCCACAGCTGCTTGAGAAATGGAGGCCACAAGGGAAGGGAGGGGTGGCACCCTTAGGTGGGGCGGGACAGCCTCCCATGTGGCCAAAAGCAGCCAGGCAGCCCCCAGGAGGGTGAGAGGAGCCCCTCAGTCACCCTGGGCCTCCCTCCCAGGTAGAGGCAGCGGGTGGAGGCAGAGTGTCTCTCCACAGGGAGCTTTGGAAGGAGAAGCGCCCCAAACAGGCCAGTCAAAGGGGTTTGCTGGCTCTCAGCTGCCCAGTTCCCTGAGGCCTGTGAGTAGGCACCCGGATCAAAGTCAGCCCCGCTTCCATATACAACAGAGGTGCACAGCATCTGGTGCCAAAAGGCCCTCAGGGTGAGGAAGACCGGGGACAGGCGGGTGGTGGGGTCCAGAGCCCATGCGGAACAAAATGTCAGATTGGTGCCCCTTGCACCGGACCCTGCTTTGTGGTTTGTTGTTGTGCCTTGATCCCCCTCGCCACCCCCAGCACCCAGAGCGCAGCAGCCACGCAGACCCCCGGCTCAGCCCAGTCGCCTGCGGAGCTTCTCCCTCTCCTGCCAGATGTGGCACTGAGGAGAAAGAGCTGGATTCTGCTCAGCCAAAGCCTCTCCTCCTCCCAGCAGCCAGGCCGTCATTTTCCTTTTAAGGAGAAAATATGTTTTCACTGGGAAAGTTCAGTGTCCAGAGCCTGTGGTTGCTGGAATCCTCCCCTGCTGGAAATGCCTCCTCCCTCAAGAGGCTTGGGAGAGCGGAAAGACTCTGGGGTCCCCTCCTACACCCCCCCCTGCCCCACTTGAGGTGTTGGGCTGATCCAGGCCCTGGTCCTGAGCCGCAGCAATGCGGCAAGAATGCCCTGTAGATGGGGCCTCCCAACGGTTGAGAAGGCTCTGCTCCTCTGCCCAAAGTAAAAAAGCAAACCTGCTACCTGGCTGCTCTGAGGAGGCTGCTGCAAAGGACGTAAGGTGGGGAGGACGGACAGGGCCTGCCCCCTCCATCCAGGGTCCCCTCGGGGACACCAGATAGGAAGTGAGAGAAGTGGCGCTTGCAGCCCTCCATTTTTCAACGGAGGAAACAGGATTTCCTCTGGATGACTCCCCCAGCACAATCCCAGGGAAAAGCTTCTAAGAATAGGAAATGACTGTATAAGGGCAGATTTGCACTGGGTGCCTGGCAGTTTGGGAGGGGAACTGAGGAGAGCAGCAGAGCAGCTTTGCTGCTGCAACACAAACACACACAGAGAGAGGCAGGATCTGTCCAGGAGGGAGGAACTGGCCACTTTTCAGCAGCCTCTTCGCTTTGCACAGATTCAAGGGCACTGTGTCGGCGGCTCTCTTTTCCTCCCGCTCAGCAATGCTTTTGTCTAGGGCTAAGCACCTTGCTCTGACCCCCTGCAAAGCCAGGATGCTTCCTGACATCTTTCCCTTGGGCCTCTTCCACACCTGCTCCACATGCCAAAGGTCCCCAATGGCAGAGCCAGCCCTCCCTCTCCACCACACACACACACACACACCACTCCCAGCAAAAGCTGAAAGAGGACGCCTCTCCCACAGAGCACTGGGGCCAGGGAAGTCCTCCTGGGGCCCCAGTGGGGCAGAGGAGGAGGACCAGTTGCCCCCCAACAACAGGTCCCCCTTTTCCCTGACAGGGACAGTACCTGCAACCCTGTACAAAAGAGCAGTCTCAGCTGCTGCTGCTCCTGCTGCTCAGAGCCAGTCTGTGAGAACTAATTAATTGGAAGGGGAAAAGCCCTCGCCCAAACCCGTCCTGGGGGGCCCCTGACAATGAACAGAGAGCGCTGATCAGGCGTCCCTCGTGGCTCCTGGCAGGTTGGCACAACGTCCCAGCTCTGAGCCCAGGCGCTGAGCACGCCGCCTGCCCTGTTGATGCCTGACGCCCAGCCCCAGGAGGCGCTTAATGGCTTGTTTGTTCAGCTCCAGACACAGGCCTCTCCCAACGCAGGGGGGGGGCGGCATGGTCGTGCCACCCCCAGCCTCACGCCCAGGGAGGGGCGCCCCAGGAAGGCTCGTGCTTCTCTGCTTCTCTGGCTACTTGCTGCAAGGAAGGACAACGAGTTCCAGATCCTGCTGCGATAAGGGGCTCCCAGGAGCCATTGTGGGCTGGCTCCTGGAGGAGCAGAGGCAGGCAGGGAGCCATTGTGGGCTCCTGGAGGAGCAGAGGCAGGCAGGCAGGCAGCTGGGAGGCAGCTGGGGGCTGCCACTGGCAGACCAGGGCCAATTATTGATTTGCTGCCGATTCCCACACAAGGCCCCTGGGAATTAAGGGAACGGGAAGCCTGTGGAGGAGGCAGGGAGGTGGCAAAACGCAGCAGCTGCTCCTACTCCCCTTCCTGTGGCCCCTGAGGACCTCCTTCCCCAAGAGCAGCCATGGGGAGAAGGGGCTCTACTGGGGGCTGGGTGGGACCAGGAGGCCCAAAAAAGCCACCCTTCAAATTGCCTCGATTGCCAGGTCATTTCCAGGCCCCATTCAAGGGGTTTGCATGGCGTTTTAAGCGGTTGAAAGACTTAGGCCTTAAATATCTGGGAGGCCACCTCCTGACCCTCTTGGGGAGGAGCAAGATCAGTGGATCTTCTTGGTAACTCCACTGCCCTTGGATGTTGGGGGGTGGGGGTGGAAAAAGGCCTTCTCTGCGCCAGCCCCCTAGGGAGGGACGTGGCCCCGGGGGAGAGGACCTGTCCTGCATGCAGAAGGCACCAGGCTCTGCCCCCAGAGGCATCTCCAGGGAGGGGTGGGAGAGAGAGGCCTGCCTGAAGCACTAGTGATGGCGCCACGGCTACCAGTCAGTGCAGGTAATACTGAGCTGGGTGGCCACCTTCCCTTGCTCCCTCCTCACAGAGGTGCAGATATCTGGCACCTTCATCGCACAGTGTGCTGAAGATGCGCCTGTGCACCCTGGCCTTGAACACTCGAGATGCGTATTTTTAGAACCCGGCCTATTCTTGCGATTGTAATTTGTTTTAATCTGTTTTTAATCTTGGAACCCACCCTGTGGGTGTTTTAAATTCTTGTAACCCACCCTGGGACCTTAGAAGAACACAAGAGCCTGCTGGACCAGGGCGGCGGCCCATCCAGCTGGATGCCCCAATGGGAAGCCCACAAAGAGGCCCTGAGAGCAAGAGCCCTCCCCTGCAATAGGACTCAGGCGAAGCACTGCTGCCTCCCTCAGTGGAGGAAGAGCACAGCCATCCATAGCCTTTCCCCCCTTGTATTCCTCTAATCCTCCTTTAAGGCTGTTTGTCTAATCCTCTTTTAAAGAGCAGGTAATAAAGTGAATACAGGGACGCGGGTGGCGCTGTGGGTAAAACCTCAGCGCCTAGGGCTTGCCAATCGAAAGGTCGGCGGTTCGAATCCCTGCGGCGGGGTGCGCTCCCGCTGCTCGGTCCCAGCGCCTGCCAACCTAGCAGTTCTAAAGCACCCCCGGGTGCAAGTAGATAAATAGGGACCGCTTACTAGCGGGAAGGTAAACGGTGTTTCCGTGTGCGGCTCTGGCTCGCCAGAGCAGCTTTGTCGTGCTGGCCACGTGACCCAGAAGTGTCTCCGGACAGCGCTGGCCCCCGGCCTCTTGAGTGAGATGGGCGCACAACCCTAGAGTCTGTCAAGACTGGCCCGTACGGGCAGGGGTACCTTTACCTTTAATAAAGTGAATAAACAATAAGCTACAGAAATGTTCATCCCATGGGGAACAGTCAGGGGAGCCAAGGATAACGCCCCCAGCCTCTCCCAGCAGATGGGTGTGGAAAATGCACCTTGAAGCAGCCCAGATCCTCCCCTCCTCCCCTTTTCTGGTAAGCAAACATGGATGGCTCACCCAGGCCCTCCTGGCTCTTGCTGCTGCTTCTGAGGAGACGGCACCTTTGCACGCCCTAAAGTTTGGAGGAGTTCCCCTCTCTCTGT